TTTCTCGACCTCCTCCCCTCAGGCATCACAGAAGGATGAGAAATGGGAGTTGTAGTCAGTTCATCACATGTTGTCTCTGCCACTCCTTCCTCCTCAGGGGAAGGACTCTTCACACTCTTCCCCAGCTCCAGCCTGGGTCCCTCCCACATGGTGCAGCCCTTCAGGAGCACACTGCTCCAGCATGGGCCCCCCATGGGGTCACAGCTCCTGCCAGCAAACCCACTCCAGCATGAGCTTCTCTCTCTGTGGGGCCACCGGTCCTGCCAGGAGCCTGTTCCAGCGTGGGCTTCCCAGGGGGTCACAGCTTCCTTTGGGCATCCCCCTGCTCCAGCATGGGGTCCTCCATGGGCTGCAGGTGGAGATCTGCTCCACCATGGGCCTCCGTGGGCTGCAGGGCACGGCCTGCCTCACCACGGGCTTCATCATGGGCTGCAGGGGAATCTCTGCTCCAGCACCTGGAGCACCTCCTGCCCCTCCTCCTTCACTGACCTTGGTGTTTGCAGAGTTGTTTCTCTCACATATTTTCTCTCACATATTCTCACCCTGCTCCCTGGCTGTAGTTGCCCTTGCACAGGTTTTTTCCCCTTTCTTAAATACATTATCCCAGAGGTGCTGCCACCGTCACTGATGGGCTCAGCCTTGGCCAGCGGTGTGTCCATCCTGGAGCTGGCTGCATTGGCTCTGTCGGACACGGGGGAAGCTTCTGGCAGCTTCTCACAGAAACCACCCCTGTAGCCCTTCCGCTACCAAAACCTTGTCACACAAACCCAATACATTACCCAACAGGGCAACCCTGCTAATGATCAGACAGGATCTTCAGACTCCTTATTGAGCATACTTCTTAATGTCAAAGGCGTGTGCAGGCTGCTTCATACCCTACCGACCTCCTCTGCTCTGTCCTCATTCTTCAAGGAAGTGTCTGTCTGAAAAATTAGTGAAAAGTCATCAGGAACCTGGATTTGGTTAAAGCTGTCCCTCCCCGCAACTGTACCAACCCTGCTGATATTGCTGATGATTGCCTGTTGGCTCTGCAGGCCATCATACCTGTACTCACAGTGTGCTCAGTCACCCGTAACTGTTGTCCTGGGAAGGGAGATGTCAAACCACAAATGTGAGTATTTCACTAGGTACAATAGGAAAAGGTAGAACAGCCAAGTGAAATGAAAGCTAAACAACTTATTTCAGATACTTGCAAATGCCATGTGAATAGTATCATTAGAGCTCTGCTGTTATAATGCTCTTTTACTGCCAGTAATCAGTGATTTCTCTGAGGTAGCAGGAAAACAGCCTTGTTTCATTCTGGCTTCCCTGTCTCGGTGTCTTGGTCCTTCACCTCATATCTCTGCTCTATTATCTACTGCTTTTCATTGATCATCCAACAGCAAACTCACCAGATACAAAGTAACCAGTGGCTGGAAATCAGTCTTCTGGTTTTTGTCCATTCTTGTATGTTGTTTTCTCGGTATTTTGCCAGAGTGCCTGTTAACCCCTCCTCATTCCAGTGCCCAAGAGTTGCCCAGAATTAGGCAGTTTTGTAGGGTCAGCATCAATTTTCCATCAGGCTGCATTGCCTTCCTGGAAGTTCACTGCACATACCAGAATACTGCAGGCAGCACAGGCAGTTACAGGCATGGAAACCCTTTTCATCGCCAGCACGAGGAACAGCCAAGGGCTAAGGACAAGCTATGCCCACCCCTCTGGTGAGGCCGTGCCCTCAGTGACTCAAGCTAAGCAGCAGCCTTGAGACTGGGGAAGACATATGGGAGCAAAGGTTTCATCTAGGTCCAGTGGGGAGTACTTGACTACCATATCAAAGGATCTGGGATGACTCAGAAGGAAAGATCATCTTAGCTTTTCATTCCCTGAGAATTGCCCAAGGTAATAGTTGGCAGGTTTCACACAAAGTTTAACACAGTTGGGTCAGTGATGAGTTGTGATCTTAGGATTCATGCTTATGTGGGTGTAGCATCAGCCAATATGGGGAAGACTTTAAAGAAAAATGCCATTTACTTATCAAGGCTAGGTTGTAGTTCCTTCTCTCACCTCATTTGTACTGTGCTGCTTATGTGTCTGATTGCAGATTCTGTGAGAACTACTTTAATTTGTGAAGTTACAGGGTTTTGTTAAAATGTTGGACTCTGAAAGTAACATCTTCAGAAGTGCTTAAATCAGTCACATATCTAAAAAGACCTCAGGTACTTAGAGTTTGGGAACTAGCCTTTGAACTAACATCTGGGGGTGAAAACCAGGTGAGCCAGGAAAAGACCTCACTGCCTAGAAGTGGGGTTCATACACTCCACCTGCTACACCAGGAAGAAGCACCACACAGAAAGTGGGCACTGCAACCCTCCTTCCCCCATTCCAATGGACATGATGGTTGGTGTGCAAGGCCAGAATTTATAGCCTGGAATTACTGCAAGAGATTGGCACCAAAAAGCACCCCTGGGTGATGGTGGAAGTGGAGAAGTTCATAATACTTGTAAAGGTCAAATACTAGGTTTCCTTGTCTCAAAGCCTGATGTGACTCACGCACATCTCCATCAGCTTCCAGGAGTTTGCCCTAACACACCAGGGCTGAGCAGGCCTCCCATTCCCCCTGGAAGCCATCGCATTTTGACCACCAGGGACTCGGGATTCATAGCATCCCAGAGAGAAATGAACTGTTGAGTCATGCTTAAGAAATTTGGCTGGGGACGCAGGCATGGATGTTCCTACCACATTTACATTGCATTGAGATTGTTCACTTCAAGCCACTAAATAAGTGAAAGAAGGGGTTAAATAGGAAATCTCACGTCATTCAGACCCACATGTTGCAATAGGACTCAGTAATAGCATAGAAATAGTCATGGAGAGACCTACTGTATTAAAAAAACACTTAGCGAAAGTCCAGATTCATCAGCCAAATGAGTAATCTGAGTTGTAGAAAAGCATTGGTGCTTGTACCGAGCAATCAATAGAAAGCAGAGAGTGCCAATCCATTTAAAAGGCTCAGGCAGGCCTTAACTGCCTTTACAGAAAACGGAAGCTGTAACCTCATTTCTGAGACAGGTGCCTTTTGTGAATTATACAGCCTCTCAAAGCGTTGGCACCTTGTCACAGCACTGCGTGTTTGTGGTCAGTGCTGGAGCTTCTGGTGTAGATGGGTGGACGTTGGGTTATGTTTAGGGTTGTAAACATTTGCCTCCATAAAACGCTGCTTTATCCCTTTGTGTCTGAATAGCAAAATTCACATGGTAGGCAAAATACCAGTCTTTTATTCTGAAGACAGAGATAACCAATACATTTGCAAGTTCCAGTCCTGAGAAATTACTCTGATTTAAGGTTTTGACTTCGACCCTGTATCAGTCTCTTTGTTGTTCATGCCAGAGAGAGTTATTAATCCAATCATTTTCCTGCTGAGTTCAATGAACATTTATTCACCTCTGCTGTCAGCAGGAGCAGGGCTGGGCATGGTTTGTGGGAGTATGTACTCTTCTCGGCAGGTCTCTCAGCCATACTCATCATCATGATCTCTAGGCATCTCTGCTGCTTATTTATCCCTCAAAAAAGGCAGCTTTGGACACATGTCCCCCCTGTTGTTACCTATGTGGAAGGGACAGATTTGGCCCACCTTGCATTGCACAATCTGGTGGGCATGCTGCTTTTCTATGACAAGTGGAAAAAGGTGCTCTTCTCTTCAAGGGGAATAAAATCTGCAAGATAAAAAATGTATCAGCACATTTCACACACCACAGGGGAAGCAGAAGCAAAATTAATTCATTATTCAGGTTGCCCAGCAAGCAGTCTGGTAAACCTCTATTATTCAGGCATGCCACAAAAGTAGTTCCTAACATTTTCTGACACACTGGAGAATGTTTTTACCTTGTCCCCTTCCTGCCTTACTGGCCTCACTTGTGACAAGCCTTGCCTGGTGTTGCAGTATAAGACTGGGGCAGTTAGCTCAACTTTGGCATCTAATTGCTAACTCAACCCAACTGATTTCCCACAAGAAACAATGAAGTACTTTGAATCAGAAAATTGAATATCAGTTTATATGAAAACCCATCATCCATCGGGTCCTATCCCTGCTGGAGGCAGAACAATATTAATACAGCACAGATATTGCATACCTACAGAAGGCTTAGCTATAGGACTCAAATTCTAGCTGTGATCCTGTGGTGAGAAGTTATTAAGAGAAATAGTCTCTTCTAAAGGAGAAACTAACTTAAATCCCCTCTTGCACTGAATACGTAAAGAAAGCTTGATGAAGCGAGTAGAACACGCTCTGAAAATCTAAGCAAACAGGATGCTGTTTAAAAATACAGCTACAAAATATTTCTCTTTTTTTTTTTTTTTTTTTTTTTTTAATAAAGAAAGCAAGCCCCCAAGAAGCAGTGTGAGATAAAAGAGAAAGACACACAGGGGACATCACAGATTGCCAGGAGGAGAAGCGGAGGCATCAACACTTTCTGCTGTAGGGTGTGTTAGTCTGCTGAGTTGCTGTCTAGGGAAACAGTAGTAGCTCAGGCCTGGTGTCAAGCTAGGCTGAGCTAACACTAAATTATGGCGCTTTGATGGAGACATTTTTCTGTCCCTACTGGGCCCCTCAGCAGCAGCCTCAATAGGAGGAGGAAAGTTAGAAGGATAAATTCCCTTCCCCAGCACAAAGCACAGTCTTAGGGTCCATGCAGCATCTGGGTGCAGACAGAGACAAGGTCTCTGCCCTTTCTCTGCCTCAGCTGGATCTCACCCAGAAGCTCCATGACCATCTTAGTGTGTCATTGTCAGCACCTGCTATGAGTCCACGTGTGTTAGTTTTAGCCCCTGGTGACCTTGGACGCAGTGGGATACAGCTTGTGCGGCCTTTGCAGTGTACCTTCTTGGGGGTGGAGAGATCATGTCCTTTGCTATTAATTCTGCTATGCCTTTTGCTGCTATCAAATCTGGGTTTCTGCAGCTGTATGGTGGCCAGCCAGGCCGTTGGCCTAATTTTGCTTTTCCCCTTTGTATCCCATATGCAGAGAAGCAGAGGGAGCTGGCTCGGAAGGGCTCCCTGAAGAATGGCAACATGGGAAGCCCTGTTAATCAGCAGCCGAAGAAGAATAATGTGATGGCACGAACAAGGTAAAGGACTGGAAAAGCACTCAGCTGTGCTCTAAGCTGCAATCCCTAATGGCCTAAGGATGGGTAAAGACAATGTTCATTGCCATTTGCCTACTGCCAAACAGTCTTTGAGAGCAGTGATGGCCCTTCCTGGAGTTGGCAGACCCAAATGCTCTGTGCTGTGTTGCATCCCATCCCCCGGGTTGCTGTAGGGACAGCTGAGCCCAGGACCAGTGACAGTGCAGCCTGCAGAAGGCAGAGCCAGCCCAGCCTGGTCGAAATCCAGGGTTTGATACGGCTCCCTTGCATGTTCTGGCTAGCCTCATGTAATGCATAATCCTGTCAGTGGGAGAGGTATGATGCCGCTTCATGTAACGCAAACTGGTTTAGAGCTTAGTTCTGCCTTGCCTGCTTTTATTGCAGTAGTTCCCATGCTCCTTTTTGATGATGACCCCTTCCCCGTACTGACTGACTTAATGAAAGCTTGTAAATAATCCATCTTTGTGCTTTGCTATACACCTCCTCCACACTTTGAACAGCATGGTCATACTTTGCTGGGGCTGCTTTGGCACATCTCCATATGACAGTATCAGACAGTGCTACAAACCACTGTAAACAAAGATGTTCCTATCCGAATACTTTCTTTTGGAGTATTTCTATTTTTCTCATGTAGAGCTTCAGTGCACTAATGTATTACTTACCTTCATTCAGGAGGCAAGAACCCCCCTGGGCCCACGGAATTGCACACTTTGCATGCTACTAGAAAGGTGGCAGATTTTAGTGGAGGACCTCACTTAGAATAATTCACGTGAATGCTGTGTGTTTACTGATTAATGGGAAAGTTGCCTGGATTACCATATTTTAAGTGGAACAGGAACTGCAGGTCAGAGCTTCTCTGTAGGCAATACATACAACAGATGAGGTTTCTTGTTCACAGTAATTCCAAAAAACCCAAAATAGTAGCCATGAATCATGCCAGCACTTTGTCAAGTTTTATTTGTAAGCCCCTGCAATGTTGGTGGAATACGTTGCATTGCCCCATGCTCTGTGTTTGGTTGTTGAGACCATATAAAGGAGCCAGGCCCTTTGTGGCAGCAAGAAATTTAGCAAATGCTCTCAGCTGGGTTTTCCACACCCACTGTTCCTCCTTGCCTTCTAAATACAAGCTGGAAATACTTGGATTCTTTTGGCAATAGGCTGCATGCTAGCTTCCTGAGAGGAATGGTAGCAGATTTGCTCCTTGAGAGATTTAGAAACATTGAAATGAGCAGCGGAAGATGGTAAGGGAGAGAAGATGGTACAGGTCCCTACCTGTAAAATTAGTGGCTTCTGCTTGGAGAGGTTGTTGTTTCCAAGCTGCTGCTGGAAGAGAGAGTGATTTGAGTGGGGAAGAGCAGATCAGTGACATCTATTAACAAAAGCTTTCAAGCAGCTAGCTCAGTTTTACTACATTTGTGAACATCTGAGCACTGTTCAGAGGACGTGTGGACCCCTTCAGTGCCAGGCATAGCCTGCTGGCAGTAGACTTGCTCTTCTTAGTTACTTTTCACACAGCTTTTAGAAGCATCCCTGGAGATCTGCAAAACAGAGATTTGCAGCCATTGCTTTAGTAGCAGATGTAGCTAAGCTCCATTGTTCCCATATGGCTGGGAGGTGTCTGGCACGGGATCTCACCAGCCCAGGTCCCTTCATCCCCCAGCTCCCTTGGCTTTCTGGGAATCAAGCTGCACCACGAGCACAGCCATAGTGATACCTCAGAATGGTTCAGTCTTCTTGCCACAGACAGGGCAACCCCAGGAAGGCAGAAATGCCACAAACTTCTTCATGGAGCTTCTTTTCATAGTACAATGGTTGAAGCATAATGGGAGATACTCCAGTGGGATACACTACAAAATGTCCAGGTTATGGTTTAAGTCTGAACTGTTGGCTTCCTCTGGTCTCTGCAGGAGGAAAATCAACTAAAGCCATTTCACCCTTTTTAGCTGTTCTGCTGTTCTCATCAAATACGTTTTCCTTCATTCAGGCAAACCACATTGCCTCTCCAAGTCTCTACTCCACATCCTTCTCCTTCCCCAAGGCTTCTGTTATTCTGTATTATCTGAATGAATTTATGACATCCAGGTTGCCTTCATCATTCAGTCTTCTCCTGGGGCAGGGGCACAGCCAGCCTTATAGGTGGAAGGATCTGGATCCACAACATGCTTGGTCTCCCTAAGAGCAAATAAAATGTGAACAAGGTTGGAGTGATGCTGACACACTTGCTGTGAGCCCAGGCAGAGCCCACAATGGCATCCACACCACTTGGGCACAGACAGATATTGCAGTCCACTCTGAGAATAACCTAAACCCAGATGTGTGTTGTTACATATTTCATGTTAAGTGAGCAAAAACACTAAGACAAGAAGCTCATACTGGTACAGCTATGAATGAAAGCAGCTACAACTGCTACCCAGCTTTGTTCCAAGGACAGCGGGAAGCAAAAATAAGGACAATCAGGGTGTGAAGGAAAGACTTAGATCAGGGGCAGAAAAATTGAAGTTTTGTGTTATTAAGAAAAAAGACATTTCTCAAGAAAAAGAGGTAGCGATTTATTTTTTAATCAAGTAAATAGTACCACAAAGCATTCTTCTCCTAGATCCCCTGATAGTGTATATAAGTCAGTGAGTATATGTGGAGCAGTGACTTGAATACTGGAGAGAGAGAGAATGGAAGTCAGTAGTTCTGTATGGGCAAGCTGCTGCTGCCAGATCACAGCTTCAGTTCCAGACATCTTTGCTTCTTGACTTCCTTCCTACATGCTTCGGGAGCAGAAGGACCATCCCAGTGCTATGAGAAGGGGTATTGAATTTTGCAAGTGGATCCCATTTTCTCTAATCCCCTGATGCAGCAGGTTGGAAATTCTGCATCAGTTTTCAAATTAATTTCTTTAATCTTGTGTTTCAGTGAACACAGTAAGAAAATACAACTAGTCATGAATTTATGTATGTGCTTTGTGATAACATCTGATATATCTTACTCTCCCTAAGCCTGCCCATCCTTAGTGCATGGCAGGCATTAGTATTGCTAAAATTGTAATGGCTTCCTGAAATTTTCTGAACAGAAGCAGAAAAACATTTCAGGTAGTTAGAGAGCAGTTGGAGCACGGATAAGATGGATTATAATCTTATAATATTTCCCAAACTTAGTGAAGCATCATTATGCATCACTGTGTGTTGTTAAAGACCAGTTCTTCATTTGAGAGAAAACCTGAGTTGACCCACTGAGTGAGATGATTTTTATCACTCTTGCGGTTCCCAGCTGCTGAACGTAGAATCTTATTCCATTTGTTTCATTTGGTTGATCTTATTTTAAATGTGAACCAAAGTCTTTGTGCACTTTTGTGGATGAAAGAACTGCTGTGAACTAGATACCATTGTATTAATGCATTTTCCTTATCCTAGAAGCTCTGAAGTCTGCATTCCATTTCACAAACTCTCTCAGGCAATTAAAGGTACAAAGTTATCATCAGCCTTTGTAACACTTCTGATGAAGTGAAAGTCATTAAAAAATAATGGGATTTAAAAAGTGCTAGTCTGACTGAGCTCGTATGCTGCACCCACCAACTTATATTTCTCATATTACTAAATTTAGGACTGAGACCTCAGAAGTGTTGTGTTTGGGGGGGGGACTGGGGTAGAGACTCAAGCAGAAAGACCAGATCCCTGATTTCCAGTAGTAGGAGCACTGAGCCTCTGCTTTGCCCTAGCCTCCTTCTCCTATTTACTTATTGCTAGTGTCATCTACTCATTGATAGGAAAGAAAAGCAACACAAAAATGAGCTATCTGATACAACAAGCAGTGCTAGCTGAACAGGTTCACCAGAATGAAGCATGGAGTGTCCCAATGTTTTTTTCTTCTAGGGAGGAACATGTTCCAAAGGCATGTCCAGCATTCATCTCTGTGAAGCTGCTCTAAGATACCCAGAGACACAGCTTGCTTCCTCTGAATTGCACCCATTTAAACATCTTCACCAATAAGAGAGGGCTTGAAAGGAAGTGAAGTGGGGAAAGCCTATCATATAACTTTGCCTCAGGCTATGTGTGGCACTGAGCTTTATTGTGTGGTTAACAGACACCATTTAATTATTTCAGGCTCGTCGTTCCCAATAAGGGCTATTCGTCATTAGATCAGAGTCCGGATGAAAAGCCACTGGTAGCCCTGGATACGGACAGGTATGCAAAGTGTTAATAAGGCGATATACATTACGGTGCAAGTGAGTTTTCATGCCAGACTGCAGCACTGAAGCTAACTCCTGGTGAAACCACTCTTGCAGGCTGCTCAAACTCTTCCTTGCTGTGCCCCTTGGCATATGCCATAACTGGTCTGTGCGTGCAAACAAGTAGGAAGAGACGTGAGTAAAGAGCGCTGTGATGGAAAGATCTGACAGCCACAAATTAAAGTTGCTCTCCAGGCCCCCTTGATGTAACTTCTCTGTGCCTCAAGGACAGCTTCATGGCACAAGAAAGATAGGGCTAACCAGGGAATACAGATCTCTAATCGTTTCCTTCTTTGCTCTGTCTTGTCCTTCCCTGCAGTGATGATGACTTTGACATGTCCAGATATTCCTCCTCGGGATACTCATCAGCTGAGGTGAGTTATACTCTCTTCTGCCGTCCTGGCCATAAATGCTTATAGCAGAGCAGCTGGAAATGGCTTAGAGTGGCCTTGTACTGCCAGAAATGGCTACACAACGAATTTGCCAGTGGTGTAGACTCTGTGAGTCTGGAAGGGGCCATGGCAGAAACTGTGTCATGTTTGTTTCTTCCCTGGTGATCCAGTTGGCTCCATCCCCACACTGCCATGGCACAGAGATCTGCCCATTGGCTGTTTTCACAGCTGCCTTTGGCTCCACTCGAGCTTTTCCCAGTTCTGCTTAGTCCTGCAGTGTTGGCCCACGTGGTGCAAAAGCATCGACTTGTCTGTCACACCAGCTCAGCAACCATCTGGTTGCCAAGGACACAAATAAAGGATCTGAGGGTGTGCTGTGCTTTCCAGTTCTTGGGGTGGTTGGGGTCACCCAGTGTGTGTTTACTTGGAGCAGACAGAAATTTCAGGAAGGACTTGCAGATATGAATGCTTGCCCTTTTGAAGAGAAAAGGCAGGAACCTCAGGCTTGTTAATCCCTCTGCATTGTTTCTGAATATATTGCCAAGCTCTCTCCTGAATTAGTTGCTGAGCCTCTGACTATGGCTTCTGCAGGGTCTGGTTTTACACCCAGGGTGCTGAGCAGCCATTCTGCACACAAGATTCTGGGAACTCTTCCCCTTCATAAAATCCATCTGAAGCACAGAGAAACGGCCAAGAGCAGGGACCAGATCAAATGATCTGGGCCATGTCCGGGCCCTGATGAAGTGTTGTTTACCCTGATGTGGTTAGACAGCACTTGAATCTGAGATTACAAAGAGCCAGGAGGCTTTTTACCACTTTTCAACTGCTGTAGTATGCCCCAGACTGAGAAGAGGGTCTGACCAGCTTCCAGTTGGTTTATTAGCATTATTATTACATTACTTTAAATGAGAGTTTGTCTTCATGGAAAGAGTATTGCAGGATAAAGTAGTGTATTGACTTGCTACTGTGGAATATCTTACTCTAGATACTCCTATTCTGGAAGAAGCTAGAACAGATGGCAGCCCTCACCTTTGGTCAAAAACTAAGACTCTTTCATTGTTGAGGCAGCTGCTAATGATGGGGAAATATATTCCAGAATAAGGGACCTCCTTAATCTTCTGACCATCAGAAGTAAGAAGTCTCAAGTGTTTGACTGTTTGTCTCTTTGTCTGTAGCAGATCAACCAAGACTTGAACATCCAGCTGCTAAAGGATGGGTACCGGTTAGATGAGATCCCAGATGACGAGGACCTCGACCTAATCCCCCCTAAATCGGTCAACCCTACCTGCATGTGTTGCCAAGCCACCTCCTCCACCGCCTGTCACATCCAGTAGTGAGGCCGGCAGGCTGTGATCAGTGCTTTCCACTATAACTGTAAAACTTAACAGCCATTGCTTCCTCCTATGGTAGGACGTGCACCTCTTTGTGTTCATGGAGCCCGGAGAAACCAAAAAATTCATTTTATGATTGGTTGATAAGTTATTTTAAACTATGGTTAAACAAAAGAGAACTTGCTCAAAATGCCAGGCAGCGCCTGGCAGAACTGACTGTTCTGGAGAGCAAACACAGGGGGGTTCAGATTTACCTCCTTGGTTTGCATAGGCACTGGGGGATGTTTTGTAAGGTGCCTGTTCCAGAATAGAAAGTATCAGATGGGGCTGCAGGTAATCCTGCCCACCGAAACCAATCCATCTGTGAGATCAGGGGTGACTCTGAGGTGCCAGGGGATTTTACCAGTGAGAGGATGTCAGTCTTAATTCATTCACTAAACCTGTTTCATTTGCATAACCAAAATGATACTGTAACTGGGGCACAGGAATGGGAACAAAGCAAGGAATGCTTTCTTATGGCAAGGGTAGCCAGGACTAGCATGACACAATTCATTAACTTGTGAAGAGGATAAATAGGTGGCATTTCACTGTGAGTCAGTACTAGCTAGAGCTGTCGTGTCACATATCCAATGCAATCTACCCTTAGCTCCACATTAAATTACCACCAAACACATCAGATTCAATTTACAGTCCATCTGTGCTCTTCAGGGATTCAGTCCTTGCCCAAGCATACCATACTCCTCAGCTCAGTCTAGTCACGTATACTGACTTCAGCCTATACTTTATTCCTGTGAGACCCATCTGCTTCCAAAAATCTTAAACTTTGTTCAACTAAGAAAAAATGAGTCCTGCACAAGACAGGACTAGAACTGTACAGTCTGAAGGTCAGTGCCGGAAAAGCTACTTGAAGAAAACACATTTTTACAGTGCTCAACTGTTGATACTCTCTTGACACTGTGTCTCTTGGTGCCTGTGGGAGAGACTTACTAACGCTGAAGACATCTGTGTGGTGGTGTCAGACTTTAGGGGAGTTTTCAGCAACAGCAGGATTATGAACAGCTCCAGCTGAAAAAAAACACGAGAGGAAACTACTGTTTATCCCATCTTGGCCCACTGTGGACCAGGCTTGGTCTGTGTTAGAGCTGTGCTGTGTCAGGAGAAATTGTGTTTATTTGGTACTGGAATAATCAGGATACCTGGCATTGCATTTGGTTGCTGGACTGGATTTCCAGTTCACCAGCAGATTGTTTTGAATGCAAAACCATTTCTGGAATTAGGAAATGTGTCCTCTCCCTGGCCAATCTTGGACTGCTGGCTTCATCATATGTGGAGCTCAGGCGAGGGATGGGCTGGCATTTTTCTTGGTGTTGAAATCTTTTGCCACAGGCATGACTGTGTGTTTTGCTGCTCTGCCAGGAGGAAGGACCACCTGCCTTGGGTCATCACTTGCTTAATACCCTGGGGAAGAGAAAAAGCAAGGGCAATTCTGAGCTTCCCATCAGAATCAGAATTCCTGAGTCACAAGGCAGAGACTGAGCTCCACCCCGACAGATAGATCCACCGTCTGAAATCTGCGTGAAGTGAGCTGAGTCTTTAAGAAGTCCTCTTCATGATTAGGAGGTTTATTTAGTATTCTGGCATTTCACTCTGTGCAGTGCAAAGCAGGATACCATCCACAGCATGATTAAAAGAGCAGGCACACAAGATTCCTGCACTTTATTATTCACTATCTCGTATGGGCAACTATTTAAGTTACGTTTGACCCCCACCCCCAAAACAGCATGCAGCCACACTGGCTCCAGGCCACAGAAGGAGGACTGAGTGGTGCTGTTTACTGTTTACTGAGCATCCCTGTGTCCTCGTGCAGAAGTGCTGGTTAAGTTGCCAGCTCTTCTATGATGAGTGTTCCTCAAGTAAATTCCTCTCCCTTTCTCACCACCTGGTAATACTGTGGGGAAATATTTCCAAAATGTTTCTAAAGAAGCATAAAGCATCAGGTCTCCAGTTCTTCCTTCATGTGCCCGCTTTCCTCTCCAGTGCTAGCTCAGGTTGAGGTTAGCAAGCTGCCTGGACATGGGGGAAGAGCTTTAACTACGCTGTGTACAGAGAAAATATAAAAGGGGAAAAAACATTCCTTAAGGAGTCTTTAATGGGGAATGCAGTTAAAACCTAACAAATACCATTGTCAAATCAAATCCTATAGGACATGACCATTTCTCTTTAAATCTTCACTCTTCTAAAATCGCACTTTGCAGTTCAGAATTGATACCATGCAATATCTTCATTGCGTTTATCCTCCTGGGTCAGTCTCTGTGCCTTCCAGCCAGGCTGCACACTCTCAGCCTTTCCCACAGCCCTTGCTCAGGAGCTCAGAGCTTTTCAGTGTGCCTGCTTACATGGGTCAGCCATGGAGGACTGCAGGTCCCACAGGTCTCTGTCATGCTGCCATCATGTTCGGTCTAAGATAGAATGAAGCTTGCTGACACTGTATCTCCCAGGGTTAGCTCCTCCCCTCTGAAGGACAGACCTTCCCTGATAACCGCTGCCCCATGGCACCATAACCAAGTCCTTTTATTGCCCCTGTTGCTGTTTTTTGCCTGCCATGTTCCCTGAGGCATTCCTCAACCCTGCAACTGCCCTCAGCCCTTTGCGTTTGTGATGTGCATCTGCTTCTAGCACAACCCTTTAGGGAGGGAGGGAGATGAACTGAAACGTTACACCCAGTGTTTCCTCCAAATACAGACTGAAGCACAAGCCAAGTGTTTTTCCCTGTGCACAGAAGGAGTTGGTTGCAGAAATAGCTGGTTTGGCATGATAGTACAGGACCATAAAATGGCAATTTTTTGGCTTCTCCTCTCTATGGTTTGTGTTCATATATTTTATTAGGGGAATAAAGTAGAAGGGGTGGGGAAAAGTAGTTACCTGTGTAGGGTCATTATCAGGAAGGCTGAATGGATTAGCAATGCACATGTGGCGATCATAAAGAATCGAACACTAACCCTTCTGAACTACAGCCCCTTAAGCAGGTTATGACCATGCAGCATGTTTGTTGGCTCATTATGGAATATGGTGGACAGCCCACCAGTACGTATTAAATGCAGACAGGGCTGGCTGCCCCTATCAGGTCTCGTGTTCAGACCTTTGCTTCAGCCAGAAGGTTTTCCTTGTGCCCTCATTAGAGGTTACGCTGTGATGACTTCCCAGGAGGGGGTATAGATACATACATGGCCTTTCTGGCACTGCTCTCTTTAGACCAGTCTGCCGCCATGGCCTGGAGAAGGCAAAAACAAAGAGCATGGACCCTGACTCTCTGTCGCAGCAGTATAAACCCCTAAACTCTGCAGAGCTTCTGGGCATTCTCCTAAATGCAGATTGCATGCAAGAAAGCAAATAGTTCCTTGTTCCATTCTTTGCACCAAACCAGATGGTCTTCTCAGGCCCCATTTTTGGTCCAAAGCTGTACAGAATATCAAGGAGGGGAGCACCATGGGGTATGAAAGGCTCCATTGCTGTCCATCTAAATTGCCATGCAAATAAGATTTAAGGATATTGATGCTGTTGCCTCCACAAAGGAATTTGCATTTGATGCCTCCTAAAGCCAGGATGGCTGTTAGGCTTTTATGTAATTTCAGTCACCAAATTACCTGAGTTTAAGCAAGTCCTTTCCTTTTCTCAGATGCTAATTTTGCCCTTTAATGTGAGCTGGCTTTAAACTTCAGGGTCTTAGCACTCAACTCTGTCTCTCTGGTCTGAAAACTCCCCATTTCCAGATGTCTGTGTGAGGAGGAACATCCTCCTAGTGTTGAGGAAGGTCTTCAGATAACATGGTCTAGTCTGCTTTTCTGGTGCTTGTAAATAAACTTTGGCTGAAAGGAGACTGATGTCCAGGCAACCATCCCAAAGGCTCATTTGGTGTCTTACCAGACATATCTTGAAGCAAACCCTTGGAAGAATGACTGAATCATAACTGGCATTGCTGCATGTCTACCCCCAACACATATGCTTGGCCATTGGGTCTGCTATGCTGTTCTTGCTGTCTTGGCTGCAGATGTCTTGTGACTGCAAAATCTGGCTACCAAGCCTGCTGTGTGGAGTTTGAAAGGGAATTCAGGATGCTCCCCCATGGACAGGATGGACTCAGCTGCTTCTGGTTTGTCTCTCCAGCTCCTTTCCCAAAAGGAGGCATCCACCCTGCTCAGTTGTCTCAGTTGTGTGCTGGCTGACATACTGGTCTGCAATCCCGAGCAGAATCCTTTCCACTCCATACAGAGTGTCCTCAGGCTGGTCTGCAAGCTGTACAATGGCATGCAGGAGGCATGAGAAGTACAGCACCTTGTGACTCAATAGAAACATGAACATGCTTTTGAAGAAAGGAAGGACCCAGCTGGGCACCAGATGGAATAACAGGAAAAGGAAAACAAGCAGTAACTAGAAAGGTTGCCAAGTGCTGTCTTGGCCTAGCGCAGATCCCAGTTGTCCGAGTTAATCTATCTCAGTGCAGTGCTGATACCAACGGGGAGTAAAGCTCGCTTTCACATGCACACACCAGAAACACTGTGTCCCCAATCTGGCACTACAGCCAAATTCTCCTGCGGAGAGTCTGCTGCACTGTTAGAGCACAGAAATGGGATCTGGGGTCCCTTACTACTGTTGGCATGCGGTACACATTTGCCCTAACCTCAGGCAAGTCACATCCCCTCTTGATGTCCATTCCCTTCTGCAGCACAGGGGAGAAACCTGCCTTCCCAAGATGCTGCCACTGCCCTGTTGCCAAGCGTGTGATGGGCACTATTGATAGCATAGCTCTGCAAGCAAGATACAGAAAGCATGCTATAAAATTTTTATGGCCATTTTCAAAGTACTACTCTGCTTTCCCTCCACTTACCAGCTTCTGATGTTGCTTGCGTGTGCCAGAAGGCTGCAGGATGGAGGTTAGTAGAGAGATTAAACAGCTTTTGGGGAAGATGTTTGGCGAGGATGTGTTTCCCAGTTATTTGGCAGCTGACTTTCGCACAACTGGCTTCTCAATCCGCATGCTGCTACAGGGAACATGTAGGAAGATTTGGTGGCCCAACAGCACCATCCCCTGCTAATAGTAGAGTTAAGGAATGTAGGAGTGCAACTGGGATAGTGAGTGCTGGTGGGAGGAAAGAGAGCACTGAAGGGCTCATTTGGGATATTTCAATGCTGTTTTATGCTCTTACTTTTATCATCCATGTAATCATCTGAGGGTATAAAATTGGCAGTTTTGCCTGGGCTCTTCCATTTTCCCTTCAAGCTCACATGGGTATGGCCACTCTTACCTAGAATGAAGTAGGCTTTGTGACTTAGCTGCTGCTTGGCTCAGCAAGCACTGGCTGCATATGCAAAAGCAGCATCTGTATAGATGGGCAGTGCCACAGGGCAACCTGGGCTACGTTGAGCCTAAGGGGAAATCATGGGAAGGTCTTAATTTTAAGGTGCTTTTCATCTCTAGGAGAACATTGCATGCTTGTCATTTCCTTTCAAGGCTTTCCTGTAAGAGTGATTGTTCCAAACCTTGAACCAAATCTCATCAGACAAACCCACCTCCGTTACAGAGCCACACAATCCCTGAAGCAGAAGAGCCAGCAATTTAGCACAGAGGAAGAGGTTGTGACCTGAGGTTACCTGCAGAAGATTAATGCAGGTTTCTCACAGGGACTGGCATCTGTATTTTAACTCCCTGTACTATGCAGCTGAGCTGCTGCATTGCTTCCAAAACGTTACAGCTACACCCCCTCCTTTACCCTCCTTGACTGTGGTGTCAATCCCAGGATCGCAGCAGCTAAATGCTGCCTGGCTGAGCACTGGGGAGGCAAAGGTTGGGGACTAATTGAGATTACATGGAGCAGAGCACAGTGGCCCATGCAACCATGCAGCAAGCCATGTTGCAGAGCAGCACAGGCACTGGCAGGACAGATTGCAGCTTTCCCTGCTTCCTGTGGAGAGCAGCTCTTCCCATTGCTTCCCAGACCCACTTGTCACTGGTGGTGGCTTCGAGCCTCTTTCTCTAAAAAGCTGATCCAGCCAAAGATAGATTTGCTCCTGGAAGAAGCCCTCCTCACTGGTTGTGCCTGGTCTGTGGAGCCATTTCCATAGTAACAAATGGTGATACAGGTGGTGGGATTGCATCAGGGAGTCGAAGGGACAAAAGAAGCCTCATTACAGTGTGACTGCCTCAGACGTGTCTTTGGATTCTAGGACAGTAGGCACCAGCAAAAGAAAAGGCCACTGAGAGGCTGTGCTAAGATAAGTCCTGTTACCTGCCGAGATGTTTACCATCCCAGAGCAGCATTTCTTCCTTAGTTGCCTATCCAGCTGCCCCAGATGAGCTTACTGAGAAGCACTGCTCTCCACCCAGGCTGCCCTCTTGCTTCTGCACCCCAAAAAAGCTGTGACTCCATTTGTTACCCACCTTCCTTGAGCCTGCATGATTTGGGAGATGCAAAGTTTCTTGGGAGATGTAATACGGATGCATGGAGAGAGCTGGGAAACTTAAACAAGCTCTCTTCTCAACAGTCCTTCTGGCTTTTATCACCTTCATCTTCTTATCCCCAGCTCACAGGTTTCTTTTGCATGGAAGAGCTGCAGTAGCAGCTGTGTTTGGCTTGCAGCTGCCTCTGTCCTGAGACAAACCCAAGGCGAATGTCAGACCAGTGACAAATCCAACAAATGAGATGGTGGGTGAGCCAGAGAGCAGGCTGGGATTTCTCTTCACCCGCCCAAAGGCTGTGGGGCTGAAGGTTCTCCAGGCGAGTGTAAAGCCTTGGTGTGATGCAGCAAGCCGAGCCAGCCGCCCTCACCCTCCCAGTGCCAGTGCTGCAGCAGGTCTGGGAGCCAAGTGCCCGGTCCCAGGGCTGCCACCAGCCCACGTGCTCCTGGTGCAGGGTGGAGACCTGCAAGCAGTGGCACGGGTGGGATGCCTGTCGGCTGTGCTCTTGCTGCGCTGGGGCAGGGCGCTGTACGAGGCGCTGGTAGGGCTGTAGTTCTGCAGGGAGGAAGACTCTTGCAGAGGATGAAGTCTTTGCAGGGGAGAAAATGGAGAAAGTTGGGGGGTTTTAATCCCTTTTTGCACATTTTTAACCATTTTTACTCCTTCCACAGAGGCTATTGAACCTTCAGTTTAATAAAGGAAATGAACCACCATGAAATAGATTTCTGAAGGGTCTGAAAGCAGGTGCTACTTGCATGCAGAGCTGGTCTGTGCCTAACATGCAACTTCCAGACCTCATTGTATAGCCTGTAGCAGAGTCGCCACGTGCAACGGGGACTGGGGTGGGAGAGTCAGTGTTGGCCACCGTGCCAAACGGACACAGCTTCCCAAATTGAAGAATCAGACCAGAAAGTGGGTGATGGAGCAGCGACAGTAGAAGGGTAGCTAGTTGTTACAGGTAATCTTTGGTATCCATGTCCAGTGGTTAGTCCTAGAATTGCAAGCCTTGTTATATTGCACACATCCTTCTTCCACTCCTCAAAGCAGCCATTGCCTTTCTTCCCCCTCCTGCCCTACGCACTAATGATGAGCATCGGAGGCAGCTGCACCAAAGTGACTCTCAGCCCAGTTCTGCATCCCCCCTCCTACCCGAACCCAGACAGTCGTTGGCCATCACAAGTGGCTCGTGTACCATAGCTTCCTCCGCACACACTCCAGCAGGGCAGTATAGGAGGCTCTGACTGTGTCCCAAGAAGCTTCTTTTTCCCCTAGCAGCACCTTGCAGACATGCACCTTACTGGGAAGTTACTGGGTCAATGCTGGTGAGATCTGGCACTGCTGATCTTGCGTAGGTGGCACTTGATGGGGATCCACTGGGGGAAGCAGGCAGAAAGTGGCTACTGTCCCTTTTCTTTTCTTTTTTGAGGGAGAGGGGGATTTTTTTGGCATTATGATTATTGTCCACCTTCCAGTGGCCAAGTTCTGGGCTGCATTAATAGTTGGAATTCATTGGCTGTCTGGGCAGGTATGCAGCTTCGCACCAACTTTAATAGCAAACGTCGTGGCTGTATCCAGAGCCTGGATACAGGCTGGGTTTCTCCCATGCTGGCAAAGAGCTTTCAGCAGGCTCCAAGTAGGCATTTCTGTCAGACAGGGAAACAGCACTCCTCTGAGTCTGGATCAAATCTGCACTTCCATTTCGTGTTATTAGCTTGGAAAAAACTCAACCCAAGCAAATGCTTCCCAGGTCTCCTTTCCCCATGCGGTGCCTGGCGCCCCAGGGGAGGGGGTGGCAGGAGGCATTTCAGGATCACCTTTTTGGATGTATTTAATGGAAATACCTTTCAGGAGGAGAGACCTCCCGACCTTTGCGTTAATCTCAAGAGCAGGAGATGATTTTCCGGCTGTCCTTGCATATAGTGAAACATAGCTGAAACAGCCAAATGCAAACTAGAGTTAAATGTAGGGTTTGACCTGAATAACCTTTTAATTAGGAAGATAAATTTGTTGTAGCTTGACCTTAGTCCATGTTAGGAACCTACTAATCATTTGACATGCAGAGTGTATTAATGCTGCACTTAACTTGGCCATTGGTTTTATTATCTGGTTTGGGAAGTTTTTTCACTCCTGAAGCATCAATCTGCATCTTGTATGGGTTTTCTTTCTTTTTTTCCCGTTCAGAACATGTAGCACACTGTTGTACTTCTGTTCCCGTCTGCGTAGAGTATTGCCTTAAACAGATCAGTTGTGTTGTGGTTTGTTTTGGGTTTTCTTTTTTCTACCATCAGTTTTATGCATTAATTTATTTTAAAATGTGGGGTTTTTTTCAAAAACATGAAACATGTATAATATTTTTTTTAACATTTCCATTGCAGTATTTATCATTGTTACTGGTTGTGTGTAGTGTAACAGAATTAATGATATTAAAAAGCATACATATGAAAACCAGCCTGCCAACCTTTCTCATTGGAGCGAACTGTACCATCTCCTCTGAGCCCACAGCAAACGGGGATACTGAAATCAGTGGGTGCCAGTGGCTCATGCCTGCAGCCGGTCCAGTGCAGGATTAGACCCCCCACAACCGAGAGGCTTGGACTCCACCTCTGTGCAGAGCTGCGCCCCCCAGGTCTGTGCCCTGGGGTGCTCCAAGGCCACGGACCCGGGGCAGGAGGTGGGCACCCCTGTGCCCACCCTTCCCTCCCAGTCTCCCACTGGCTCCCGAGAGGTGATGGGGCTGATGGGGAGCCTAAGCCTGGCTCAACAGAGACCAGTAAGGTGTGAAAATCAACGGCAACTTGTTCTCTTCATTTCATCTCTAACGGTGCACTGATCATGTTTGCCTGGAGGCATTCGGGTGTCCCGGGCTGCCCAGCCCCACCGTCCCCTGCAGCAAACAGAGCAAGGCTCTGCAACCTTTCAGGGGGGTGAGTTAGCATCCACCCTGCCAAGCTGGACAGGGGTCTTCACCGGTCAGCTCCAAAAACATGGCAGCAGAGGGGTCAGAGCCAGCAGCGGAGCGAGGCTCTGAGTTGGCACTGTGTAATGAGCCAGGCCAGAGTGGGATTTCTGCGGGGGCAGAGATTTCTGCTCAACTCCCCAGCTCAGAGAAGAGCAAACCCAGTTCATGCAAATCCCTCCCTGGCACAACCCAGTTGCCTCTCTATGCTGAGATGGATGAGGATCACTCGCTCTGACTACAGAGCCCATCACTCAGGACAGTAGAGCAAACAAGCCACACAGGATCACCTAAACACAGCTTTTTAATTAAAAAGGGGGGAGGCAGAGCAGACAGTAATTCCCCTGGCTACCCCAGCAGGCTGGGACAGCAGTGGCTGGTGCTGTGCCCTGGGCATTGGCTGCACTGGTGCGATGCTGTTTACACACAGTCAGGTTGCTGCAGGATTTCCAAGGAAACATGGGAGAGAGGGACTGGAAAAGCCACTGTCATGTCTCCTGCACCTCCCAAAATTAAATTGCCTTGACTAGGACCAGCTGAAACTTCCCTACCATTGTTAAGGTAATTGCCTGCAGGACGGGAGGAAGCTTAGAGCCAGAACAAACCCAGGAGGGTACAAGCCCGTGAGGAGATGCAGGCAGCCACTGCTGTGCCCTAGGCTAGAACCAGAGCGTAGCTATGGGACTGAGCCACCAAACCCCCCTTCTCCCACACTATGACATCACTGATCACGTAAGCACCACCCTGAGCTGGCAGAGCAGTTGCACCAGCCCACATCCCTTTCCTTGGGGGGGCAGGGGGCTGCAAGCCCTCAGCCCCACACAGTGCTGCTGATCCACAGGGGAATCCCTGGGACCCTTTGGGACTCCAGCTCACATCCCAGTGGGCTGCTGAACCATGTTCCCCTTCTCCAAAAAACACAAGACCCCCGTCAGCACTTACACCGACTCCTACCGCCCGCCGTGCTCCGTCAAAAAGACCATCCAAAAGCAGACTTTACAGCAGCTCCGCAGCGAGAACAAGTTTGTGACACCAGTAAGTGCCACGAGAAGGGGAAACCTCAGGGTTTGCCCCCTTCCCCAGCTGCAGATGCTGGGTGCTGGGCAGGGGGGTGGCAACGAGGACTCACGGGGTGCCTCGCTGACTGTTCAATGGAGGGGAGATGATCATGCTCCCCGGCTAGGAAAGCGTTTGACACCCCACTGCCTGTGCTCACTGGCTTCTTGTCCCCTGGAGCTGCACCCCACAGTGGCTTCAGTCTCTCAGGGCTGGCGGTCACCAGCACAAGCTCTCACATGTCAGCCCTGTCCGCCAGCAGGTTTCAGAGTGCGCAGGCGCCAGGATCTGCTGAGGACGGGGAAACTGAGGCAATGGCAGGGCTGCTGTGTGATGTGGTGGCGATGGGGGCCCGATCAGGCAGCTCAGAGGTACTCCAACACACAGCCCCCAGGCTCAGCTTAGTTCTGACTGGGAGGCCTTCCATGCCAGGGAGGCTGTGCAAAGAGCTGGGGGGAGATCTGAGCACCAAAAAACCTGGTCCTGAGGGAGGAAGGATCCCTGAGCCGTGGCAGCGGGTGTCTGTGGGACATGCAGCTTTCTCCACACAGGCTAACAAGCGTGCAGGCTCTGATGCAAAGCACGCTTGTGCGAACTGGCTCATCCCTTGCAGCCTCGTTAGCATGTGCATTATAATGAGGGAGCCAGCAGAGGGCATGGAGAGGGATGTCACCACTGCAGGGACAGAAGTGGCTCATGCAACTAGGGCACCCGTCTGCCCTGCAAGACCCCAGACCTCGGGCTTTGCCAGTTGTACATTGGTTTGGTCCTATAAACTCCCTTCCCAACCTCTGCTGGCCTCATACCTGGCAGGCCCAGTGCCATACCCCTTCTCCTACTCTGTGATGTGCCTGGATGCCCTGGGTATAGGGGGGAGAGGGGCCGGTGACACCCAGCCATCTGGTTTCGGGCAAGTGGGAAGCTTGAGAAGGGGGGAGTATCACAGTGCTGCTATGACCCCTATGCCCACCCACTGCGAAGGAAAGCTTGGTGCTTGGATCTCCAGCTGCTTCTCCAGCATTAGACCCTGCCCGGTAATCAGCTTCACCGTGTGCCCCAACGGCCACGAAGGCAGACGCTGCCGTGTGGCCTGGGTGTCTCTCCCCACTCCCCACTGTTTGTAGGGATTAACGATGCCCCTGGTGCAAAATCCGGTGAGCCAAGGTCAGACTGAGCAGCTGGTTAAGGCGGCAATGCAGGAATACTACAGGAACACCTTTGACCCCGCTGCCTGCTGTCCTGAGAAGTACTACCTGACCAGGTCTGAAGGTACTGCCGAGGTCCCACCTGTCCCCCTGTGTCTCACAGGACACATCCTCCTGTTGTTAGGGGACTGAGGGTGCTGGAAGCAGCTGTGTTCATCCCCCCTTTTGCATCCTATGTTCCCCCCACAGGGGCAAAGAGACCCTCTTGGCATCTGCACTTGTGGCTTTGCCGTGGCTGCCTGTCCCCATCCCTGCACTGACACTGTCCCTGTCCCAGGGATGTCCACAGGTCTCCAGGGTTCTCTCCCCCAGTGGCCCCTAAATACCCTTTTCTGGTCAGTGCTTCCTGGAGGCGCACCCTCCTGGCACCCCATAGCCCCCGGGGACCAAAGTTTCGTGGGTAGGGACAAGTAACCAACAAGCTTGTAGTGGTGGGTGTCACGTCCATCACACACCCTAACAAGGACACTGGAAGCAGCACCTCTGACATGTCCCCTAGCCCCATGCCATTGCATTTTGGGAGAGGGTGAACAGTCAGGACTCTCTGTCTGTCCCTCTGCATCCCCAGCACCACAGACACCCTTTGCCTGTTGTTTTTGCGTAACAGAGAAGTACAAGCCAGTTTTTGTCAACGAGAACAGATACATCAGCTGGAGAACAGGTCCCTACAACAGCACAGTCTGGAATAAGTACCACTCTTGCCTCCCCATCCTACCCAAGGTAGAGTCCAGCTTTTTTGGCCACCCCCAAACTGGAGCCATCTCAAGTGCTGCCGGCACCTTGGGCTGTGCAGCAAAAGGGTGGCAATCCTGCAAGGGCTGACATCTCTCCTTGCAGGACACAAGGATGGACACCTTCCTGCGCAGCGTACCTGTGTCGTACCCCCTGAAACTTGCCTGCCTCAATCAATGTGGTAACTACCTACACCTTCTCCCTGCACTCCAGCTGTACTTGTGCCTGTGCCACGCTGGCATCCATCCAAGTGATGGGCTGGCTGCTCTTCCTCACCCTTACCCTCAACATCCCTCCACTTGCAGAGAGGGAGGTGGTTCCTGACATGCTGCCCAGGCTGCCTGTGTACACTATGAGAAGGAGCAGACCCTTCTGGAGCTACTACAGCCCCTGCTCTGGGCGCCACTACTGCCTGCGAGGGATGGACTATTATGTTGATGGGGCCTCTGCCATCAGAGGGCAACTCAACACACTAGAAGATAGGGCTGTAAGGTTGGGATGGCTTCGGATGGGATGGGGTGGGATGGGATGCCTTGGGTTGAAATGGGTTGGGTTGGAGTGGGTTGGGTTGGGATGGGATGGACATGACCTCCCTTTTCCTTGGGGCCACTGCTCACCCTACATCCTCTGTCTCTTGCAGGAGTACCCCATGCTGCAGTTACAGCCAGAGGGCAATGTTCTGTGCGTCTACACACCGCCCCCAGTCCTCCTCCCTGTACAGGAGCCCTAGGTGCATGCAGGTTCAGCGAGGGGAGTGCTCCAAAATGGTTGCCCTGGGGGAAAAGCTTGTTATTTTTTCCTGATGTCAGCCTGATGTCTCTCTTTTCATTAGGATTTCATGCAAAATTGCTCAGAGAGTTATTCCAGGGATGATGGTGCAGACTGCAGACCCCGAAGGGCAGTGGGTCCCATCACAGTGCCCATGCAGGCAGTGGTGCAGCTGCTGCACCTCTGTCTTGCAGGCTGAGTGGACGTGACCAGGGAGGCCAGGACACTGTTGCTGGGCTGTGGAGCGTGTTGTTGCTACCCCTGGAGAAGCAGTTGCCAGACTTACTCCTGGGACGGGTGTTTCTATGCTTGGTCTCATCCAGTATTCCTTGTGACTGTAGGACACCCGAAATCTTGCTGGCACCCCTGAGACTATCTGCATGTATCTTAGCATCTCCCAGATTGTAGGGGCACAGACGTGTTTCTTGTGCTTCTCTTGTATTTTCTGTTGTCATTGTTTACTCTTCTTATCCAAGAATCTGTTCCCTGGTCACGCTGTTCGTTATGCAGTAATCAGCCCTGTCCTTCACCTGCTGCATGTCCAGCAGCACCTTTTAATCCCCACATTTACCTTTTGGATGTCTCCGTTGCTGATGCAGCTCTTTTCAGCCCTGGGAAAGCAGCGAGGGGAGAGGAGGGGGGCTACTCAATCAGCTTAGTCATCACTCTGCTGCTGCATCAACCCCCCATGGGCCAAAATTAAGCATCAGACTTTGCAAAAAAATGTGTGATTGGCTTTAAATTCCTAAACCCAGAAACTAAAACCAAACAAGAACAAACAGGGATCATGGGGTTACCTATAGATGTCCCTATGCCTGAGTTTTGGTGAGATGTTTCTCAAAGTCTTCTCCACCGAGAAACAGGAAGATTTTCCTGGACAGGCATGGCTCTGAGAATGAAGATTTTAGGAAAATTACAGTGCAAGAGAGTGGGTGTTTTCAGGGTGGGAGACACGGTGGAAGCATCTTGCTGAGGTGGCAATGCCAGGAAGCTTCAACATTCCTGCCTGGACCTTGCTTTGGCCTCAGTGTCCAAACAGACACACCAAAGTGGATGGATGCAGCTGCATGTCCACTGATCACCCCTAAGCAATGCTGGCAGCCAGAAGCAGGTTTTCTGCTCTTCTTCCTCACCAGAATTTTGCCCTCCCATGGCTGATAACTTTATCTGCTCTTCTAGGTGGGACACAAGCCACTTCAAGAGGATAGGAGGAGTCCAGAGAGGCAGCTACACCATCCACCCTGAGCTTACCTCAGAGGCTTACCCTGCCCCATGCTGCTGGTGAAAAGCAAATACGGGCTTTCATTAAAACTGACTTGGGCAACTGTTCCCCGCAGACCCTTTCCTACAGACTGAGGAAGTTCCTGGAGGAGGGAGGAGAAACTTCAGCGACTGCTGGCTTGGTGGGCACTTTAACAGCCCTCAGGGGCTGCCACCACCCACAAGTTGGAGGAGACCAAGAAAGCTCACAAGGAAAAGCTCTCAGAGCAGAGTAACAGGGCCAGAAATAGAAGCAGTCGCTGATGCCCATGTTTGTCAGTTGCGTGCTGGGCTGCTTAGGACCTGCTTGCTTTTGTCAAGTTATCTGGGAAGACGTGCCATCCATCCGGGACAGCGAGAACAGGCACAGGCTAAATAAGGAGGGGAGTTTTGAAAGCGCCACGCAGCTAATGGAGGCACAAAGTGTCCTCCTCTGATTGTGATCTGGGAGCCCAGTGTCGACGGGGAACACCACCCGGTGCCTTCCGCGCGTGCCGCAGACCGTAAACCCACGGGGCTGCAGCCCCCACGGGAGGGACGCTCCAGCGTGGAGGCGTCTGGGGCTCCGCGTTCCCGTGGGGCAGCGCCGCTGCCACGCCGTGCCCACACCGAATAGCACCCCCAAACCCTGCTTGGGGCGGGGCGAGAACAGAAACGTGAAAAAAAAACCCCATCCCGGCCCCAAACCATCCCAGCACGGTGCCAAATCCCACGTGCTACCAGCACAGCCCCGGGGGGGGGGTGGGGGGGTGGGGGGGGGTGTGGTACCCCAACCCAAGTGCCGGAGCATCCCCAGCGGCTCCAACACCCCGGAGCCGGTGCCGCTGCGGGGAGCGGCGCGGCGGGGCCGGGGGCGGGGCGGGGCCGGGGAGGGGCGGGGCCGGGGGCGGGGCGGGGCCGGGGAGGGGCGGGGCCGGGGGCGGGGCCGGGGAGGGGCGGGGCCGGGGGCGGGGCGCGGTGCGGGGGCGGGGCGGTGCGGGGGCGTGTCGGGGCGGGGGCGGGGGCGTGTCGGGGCGGGGCCGGGGCGGGGCCTGGGCGGGGGCGGGGCGGGGCGGGGAGCGCCCAACCCCGGAACAGCTGCGGGGCCGCCGGCTGGGATCAGCCCCGGTCCCCCCACCCCGTCGTGTCCCCGGTGCCGTGGAGAGCCCAGCCATGTCCCGGCGCCGCCGGTAAGTTTGCCGACTCCCTGGGGCTGCTCTCAGGGGAGAAGGATGCGGCAGCACCCGGGGGCAAGGTTTGGGGTGTGCCTCCCCGGCGTGGAGAGCGGGGCGGGGGGAGGGTGATGACCGGGTGCGGGGCTGGAGGCAGGAGAGGGGGTGCCCCGTCCCGCAGTCCCCAGGCTGCAACCGGCAGCAGGGACAGGCTCGGAAGGGCCCGCGGGGAGTGGGGTGTCGGTGTCAGACCTGCACCCTGACCTTGGGGTGCAAGCCTTTCGCACTCCGCCGTGTCGGGGGTACGCAAGTTTTTCCTGTGGTGAGTAGGAGGCTTGCTGCCCAGAGAAGATTAACGGAGCCCAAAGACACGTCCCCGGCTCTGCTTGCAAGGTGCAGCCTCAACTTTTGCCTCTAGACAGATGTTTGGCAGTGAAAACTTAAGCAGATGGGTTTATGCAGCGCGTTGTGCAATGTACTGAGTTGGGTTCGGAGTGGTTTCTGGGACAGCCCTTCCTTCAGCAAGTGCTGGCAGTGGTGACAAGCAGCCAAAGATGTTTTAGAAATCTCAAATCCTCCTTTCTCTTTTCCCTCTCTCTCTGGGTTTACTCATGATGCCCAAAGGGCAAGTGCCCGGCACAGCAGACACAGCAGGCCCAGTGGGGGATGAAGGTCCAGGGGTTGTGTCTGCATGGCTGGATCTGCACATGGAAGAGCTGCCATGGAGCACTTTGAGGGATTGATGATTGCATTTGGCCCAAGCATCGCTGGCTGGTGGATACAGATGGAAATTCGGGTCCCTGAGTCGCCAGCCCAGCTCCATGAGCCATCTGCCGCTCTCTGGAGCTGCCAGCACCTGGAGTTTCAGGGTGACTCAATGTCTGGAAAATCGCAGGGGCCATGCCAGAGGGATGTGCTTAGGTTTCCATTTCTTCCCCATATCGCATTGTAGTGCTTGGGTGTTGGGGTGGGCTCAGGTTTCAGCAAGCCTCAGCATCCGAAATGCTCAGCGCTCCCAAGGTGCTGAATCAGCTCTTTTAAGAAAGAATCTGGGGATGCAAAACAGGACACCAGGTCCTGCTGTGGAGTGGTCTGTCTTAGAGGATGGAGATGATCAGGAGTGAGATCAATGCCCACAGGAGCATTGAGAAGAGGTGCTGCTGAAGTAAGATGAAGCACCTCTTACACCAGTAGGAACTGGGCTGGGGACCAAAGGACAACGTCAAAGACACCCAAAATCTTTATGGCTGTCTATCTTACATGACACTCACGGTAAATGAAATAAGATGATGCCTCGCGCCAGTGTTTCATACGCCCGCCTGCTGGACCAGCACCACTGCACTACATCCTGGCCTGGTGCTGGCTCCTTTGGTGAGAGTGATGAAATTACTGCAGTTATCGCTCTCATTTCTTTTTTGGGCAGAGATTTATATCATCCCAGTGTGCAGGCATGTGGAACTCCTTGTCCTTGGTGCTTTGCTTTCACAGCTGTCGGGCATGAGTGGATGCCTCTCCAAGAGCTGCTGGCCCTGCGGGTGCCAAGGAGCTGGCTGCTGGGCTTTGGGTTACCCCATGGACCGTGGCTTCAGGGCCAGGCTGCCTCCTGCTCCCCCAGGGGCTGTAGGACACCTCCAAGGTGGACATAGAGATGTTCTCGAAGAGAGAGCACTGGCGCTTTCTTTCCCACGTGTCCAATTCACTTTGATGCAAGTGAACCAGGAGAGCTCACTTTGTTTTAAAGCCTCCACAAATCTTTGCGGCTCAGACAAATTCAGGCGCTGTGATATGCCTCCAGGCAGGGGAAAGCGAGAGCCCTCGGTCATGGTTTAGTCATGAGCCGTCAGCACCGCAAGTGGTGTGCAGGGTTAAAGTGAAAACTCAGCTTATTAAAACTTCATCTTGCTAATTAGCACAGGGTGAAGAACAAAGAAAGATGGTGGCGTAAAGAGGGAATTGTCAGGGGTGTTAAATATTAAGTCATCTGCTGCCAGAATTGACTCCCAGTGACTTTTTTGGATTCATGGTCTGACACTGGATAAGGTGTCTAAATGGGTTTGGAGCATTACTTGACACTGGCAGATTTAAGGGACATAACTGGGGTGTAAACTGATGATTCCTACAATATAGGTGAAAGCATTTAAGGCTGGGCAGAGCTGATGCCTCAGTTTCAAATCTCCTGTCTGTTCTTGCAGATAGAGCTAGGTGCTGGCAGTGTGTCTGCACTTTTCAGATGAGCTCTGTATTCATGTGGCCCCCTCAGATTTGGGGTTTATCCTCTGGGTACCCAGTGGTGTTTAATCCTGGTTTACGAACCAGCCATCAGCAGCGGGGCTGCTTGTTTCTTTTTGCTGAAGGCAGCCTCATTACTCTGCTGAATCATGACTTTGCTTAAAATCACAAGACCAAGACCTGGGGAAGAAAAAAAACAAAACAAAACAAAACAAAAAACCAAAAAGCCAAACAAACAAATTAAAGAAACCAACCCCAAACAACTCCTGGGCTGTTTTTTATTTTGCTTTCTGATTCTGGACAGCCTGTGAACGCAGGAGGGGATGACCCTTCGCCAGCCCTTGCCGCTCACCTGGCAGGGAGGCGAGATGCCAAATCCCGCGACTCCGGGAGCCGAGGCTTAGCCCTTTGTGCTGCCGTGATGCCTGCGGCAGCCGCCTCTTGGCCGGGCACCGCTGGCTCGGCACAGCCCGGCCGGAGGGTTGGCTGCTCACGCATCCGTCACGGTGCCTGAGAAGACACGCCGGTGACGCGCTGGGTCCCCTCCTCCTGCCCGCGGACACACGCCGCTCGGGGCGCAGCCGGCTCGTAGCCCTGAAACACCCCTGCGCGATGGAGAGGACGAAGCTGTTGGGGACGTGGAGGAGTAGCAGCACTTATTTTTCATGCGCTTAAAAGAGCCGTCTGTGGTAGAGCCAGGCAGCAGGCGGGGATCCGCAGGAGGTGATGGACAGGTAAGTACCAGCACCGTGTCCTCAGTGGGATGAGCTACCTCCTGGCCAGGGTTGTCTGTATCCGACAAGCAGGTGCTGCGTGGAATTTTCTACCCTGTCTTGCCACGGAAGCAGCAGCCCCAAAAGCAAGCGCCTGCCACTTTACAGGAGGTGCAGAGACCCACCCCCACTGCAGCCTTTCCCTGAGCCCCTCAGGCCAAGCACGGTGTCGGTCCCTGATGCAGCTGCATCGGGGACGATGAAGACGGGGGTCCCCTGGGAGGGAGGCACCGTGTACCCCCCCCCTCCCCACTGTCCCAGCCCTGCTAAGGCAGAGTCGCTGCCCTGGCTTGTGGGCTGGGGGTCTGTGCCACCCCCATTCACCCCAGGGTCGCTTGTGCACTGTGGGGATAAACCCAGGGCCCCAGGGTGATCTGGTGCAGTGACTGGGGGGATCCTTGCGGATGGCTTTGCAGGGGTGGGGGGAAGGAATCGGTGCCTCTGGTCGTTGGGGCTCAGGATGTGCAGGGAGCAGCGCAGCACCCCATGCTGGCACTGCCACAGGGTCCCCCCGCCTGTCCCACCCACTCCCATCAGCACTAAGCAGCTGGAACGGTGATTTCACCCTTTATGCCCTACAGAGAACTCCAGTGATGCTGCAGACCCCTCCAAGGAAAATTGAACCCCCAGGAAGGATTTGATCCTCCCCCATCTTAGGTTTGCAAAGTCCCTTTGGCAGGGCTGGTCCCCCACAGGGGATTTCAGGCGGAGGCTTTTTTTGCCCCCACATGTGTTTTACAAAGAAGTAATCTCCCCCTTAACTTGCCATCCTAATTCCCTGCTCTTTTATGGGGTTGGAAATGCCTCCCAGTGAAATCTGTGGTGTTTCCTTATCACAACTCCTGCCAAGATGTTTGAGGAGGAGGCAGCAGCACCTTGCACCGGAGGGGAGGGTTTCCTGGCATCCCGGCATGGGAAATGGGTGCGTGTCTCTGGTACGAGCTTGGCCCCCCCGCTGTTGCAGTTCAGACCTGACCCTGCCAGGGCAATAGGAACAAGTTAAATGTTATTGACCTGCTTTAAAGGAATGCCCTAATTTCAAAGTTGCTGGGGTTAGTGGTGCTGTGGGTCTCTCAGCCTGTGGTTAGAGGCAGTGCTGGTAAAAATAGAATCGGTCAAAAAATGGATTTTTATTTTTACTCCATAAAGTGTGTCCTGCTCAGATGTTTTGCTTTCATCTCAAGCTGAGGCAAGACAACTTGCTGCTTCCACAGAACAGGAAGAAAGAGCTTTGTTTTGGGTCAGCTGGGAAGCTCCAACACAGCAAGATGTAAACATGCTGTTTGGCTTTGACGACACCGTCCCTTCACATTTTCTTCTTTTTTTTTTAGGAATTAAAGGTCACCACAATGTCATCTTGGACTTGGAGAAAAATAACAGATTTGAATTCCAAAAAAAATATTGAAACAGGCTTTTCATGAGCAGGCACCTCTGCGGGCTGCAGCTCGTGAGTGTGAGGCAGCAGGCATCTCTGGGGAGCTTGAGAGACATACCTCTCATCTGGGACAGAGCCAAATCACTGACTAGAGAACGTACATTTTGTTACCAGAGTAAAAAAATAGAGGGGATGGACAGGCACAGAGCAAGATCCTGTTTTCAGTGACCTCCCAGGCCCATTGGTGTGCTGGGCAATGCCTGAAAACACCCTTCTCAGCATCTATGTTGGAGTGGTACCTGAGCAGGTGATATCCATCAGCCCAGGGCAGCCACAGGGGCTTGATCCTGGCCCAGCTGGAGTGACCAGAGCAGGATGAAATCCACCAGCTTGGACACCCAGCCAGCACACCCCTCCAAGGCTGATCAGTGTCCAAGGGCCACAAAAGGCTGAAAAACCTTTCTTAAAAAAACACATTATTTCTCTACTGGCAGTAGTGGCTGCTTCATGTATGTCATGAGCTCAAGCCCACGGGGGGAAAAGAAAGAAACAGCCTAAAAATAGAGTAGCTTCGAAGCAGTTCATAAATAATAAAGTGGCCTCCTGTAAGGGAGATGAAAATCCAGAAACTCCCTAAAGCCCTGGGAGCTGCTGCCAATTTTACAAGGAACGAGGAGGTAGCTGTCCCCACAGTGGCAGTATCAGCCATTTCTTGGGCTTAAAATCCTAAATGAGAGCTGGGAAAGAAAACACCATTTATTTACTAATTTTTCAGAAAACATAAAAACTTAAAAAAATTATTTTCTCAAATAATTTGGAAGTCCTGCTTGGTGGAGGCTGCATTTTATTTTTTGCCCCCCTTGAGCTTTGCAGTCCTGAGATAAGGCACATATGAGACACAGACATGCCTTTGGTGGTGGCAGGTATTTGCGTCTCACTCTCTGGCATCTCAAAAATTCCCAGTGCTGAGAGGGAGGGAGCTCAGCATACCCGTCTATATTTCTAGAAGCATCCTGCCACTTGTGGCTTCACTCAGCTCTGCTGGTTTTGACCAAGACCCTTCTGTAAATGTTCCTCAGCTCCACCCCCAGTACAATCCTGCTCTGCTTCTGATTCACTCTAAAGCCAACGAGGGGTTGAAGGTTTATCAGAAATACAGCATCTTCTCGCCACCATCTCCTCTCTGCCTTTATTGCCTAATTTTTGCTGGGCTCAGCTGGCCTTGCATCACACGTGCTGGTGGGTGAGGTCCCCGTTCCCCTCCTGGGGGGCAGGATCCGGCCCTGGGTGATGCAGTCGGGGTTGGTGGAGCTGCCCCCATACTGTGCCAGAGCTCCCCGCTGGCAAGCGAGGACTCTGTGGGACTTGGCCATGGGACAAGCCGTTTAGCTAAACCTATCGCCCATTCAGGCTAATCGCTTCCTAATGCCGCTGTAATCCCATTTAAAGTAACTGGCAGCCTACAAAGTTACCAGCTCCCAGAGGAAGGTTAAAATGACACAGCCAGCAATGAAAAAGTTCCCCCAGCTGCAATGTCTGGCCCAGTACATGCTTCAAGATGAATACAAAATGCTATGTGTTTTGTTGAGCCTGTGCACAGATGCTGCTCTGGGTTTACAACTGGGCGTCCCCATAGTGAAGCAGCAGGGTTTAGGTGATGCTCCAGACACCTTTCTGCTTTACTTGTCCTATTTTGGAGAGAAAAATCTGTTTGAGTTACAGAGGAAAATGTGTTCTGTCTTGTCACACCTGTGGCAGGGAGAGGGTTTGGTATTTCATTCTGAATCTTTTTCTTCCTTTTTTTTAAAAAAAAATAAATACAACTACTTTAGAGGGAGTCACTAACCAGCTTCATGTGTCCCCAGGAGGAGGTGTTTTTGTCTTTGGTTTTCCCAGAGCCAGTGGGCTTACAGCCCCCAGGCTTTAGGGAAGAGGGTGGTGTGCCTGTGCTTGCTGGTGCTAGGCAGGTACCAGCCAGCTGCTGTGTGCCTCTGCAGCTCCTCTCCTTCCCCTAACTCCTCCTGCAGCCGGGTTTGTTTCTTGCTCTCCCGTGTCCTTACTTTACTTTTCCCCTCTGGATCCCCAGCGCTGTTCTTGGCTGAGCCTGGCCAGCCCATAGCCAAGGAAAAGCCATTAGGCTCTTGGCGCAGCCTGCTTCCCCAGGGCCGCACAGGGGGGGAGTGGGATGGAGCCGAAACGCAGCCCGGATCCATGCCAGATAAAGGAAGAGCCCTTCGGAGGTCCTGAACCACTCACTCAGAACAAAATTAGCTTTTCTCCCACCTGGGGCTGTTACAGGGGTCTGCGTGCACAGCAGGAGCGAGCCGCTCTCCTCCCGCTCGGGGCTGCTGGCACGGCATGTCCCGCAGCCATGCTTTGCTGCACAGTGCACCCCCTGCGTGCTCCCCAAAGCCAGCCACGAGCCGCAGGTACCCCAGCCCCGTTTGGCTGTCTGGGAGCTGCAGGGAAGCAGGGATTTACCCACCTTCGCTGCAAAGCATCGCCTGTCTGGAGCAGCTGGGGCATGCTGGGGACAGGGAGGGGATGGTGCAGCAGATGAGCTCAGTTAAATCTGCCAAGGAGGCAGTTTGATTAAAATTATGAGCAGCTGCCTGGAATTAATTATGTGATGTCTTTTATGGTGCTTAATTAGCCCCATCCCTTAAAGATACTGTCAGTGGGCTGATCTAGCTCATGCTCAGCCTCTTCCTACCCTCTCCCAGTCTCCACTTCTGCCTCACTGAAAGTCTTCCCCACAAAAAAAAAATAATTATGATAATGATGTGATCCTTATTGCCCTGCGGTTGATCTCCACGTGGTGCTCAGGCTGTTCTCCCCACGTGTTGTCTGCCCCGGGAAATTGGAGATGGTGTCTGGTACTCGGCAAACACAGCACCTGGCACGTCGCAGCCTGGCAGCGGGGGGCCAGGGGGAGCTGCTGAAATTGAGACGGCAAATGGATGACAAGCAGTCCCTTGATTCAGAGGTTCTTCTGAGACTATTTATATCCTCTTCTTTTTCAGAGACAGATGCTTTGGGACTCAGTGGAGGTGGGAACTCTCCTAACAGTCCGTTTTCTTCTTCTGAGAGCCCCAGGCTTGCTGCAAAAAGATCTTCCTTCCCACTCCTCTGCAAAAACCTCTAAAGAAAGAGGGAGCGCCATGTACACCTTCCTCCCTGAGAACTTCACACCGGTGAAGCAGAAGCCCTCCAAGGAGCTGCGGCCCATGCTCGGGGCCATCTTGCTGGGCCTCATCCTGTTCATTGCTGCGGTGGTGGCCTGGTGCTACTACACGGTGTCCCTGCGGAAGGCGGAGCGGCTCAAGACGGAGCTGATGGACCTGCGGGCAGACGGCTTCGTCATCAGGAACCAGCACGGGGAGGTGGTCTTCCGTCTGGCGTTCCGCTCGGGCCGCCTCGACCTGGAGTCGTGCTCCAAGGAGGGTGAGATCCTGAGCTGCACGCGGTCGGGCCGGGGGCCGCTCAACTTCTTCATCCAGACGGTGAAGCCCAAGGACACGGTGATGTGCTACCGCGTGCGCTGGGAGGAGCTGGCGGCCGGCCCGGCGGTGGAGCACACCATGTTCTGGGAAGATGCCCACTGGTACGGGGGCTCGGAGATGAGCACCCAGCACTGGCCCATCCGCCTGGCTGGCTACCAGGAGCCCGTGCCCTACGTGACCAGCGACGTCTACTCCTTCCGCGACAGCTTCGGTGGCATCCTTGAGCGCTACTGGCTCTCCTCCAAGGCGGCGGCCATCAAGATCAATGACTCCGTGCCCTTCCACCTGGGCTTCAACGCCACCGAGCGCACCCTCTTCTTCCAGGCCCGCTACAAGGACTCGCCCTACAAGCCACCGCCAGGGCAGCAGCCCTTCCCCGAGCTCAGCTACCGGGTCTGCGTGGGCTCCGACATCACCTCCATCCACAAGTACATGGTGCGCCGGTACTTCAACAAGCCCTCCAAGATCCCTGCCGAGAACGCCTTCCGATACCCTATCTGGTCCACCTGGGCCCTTTACAAGAACGACATTGACCAGGATAAACTCTTGCGATTTGCCGAAAAGATTAAGAAGTACCGTTTTAACTGTAGCCATATTGAAATTGATGACATGTACACACAAGCCTATGGAGACTTTGACTTTGACCCCATCAAGTTCCCCAATGTGACGGAGATGTTTGCAAAACTGAGGGAAGATGGGTTTAAGGTCACCCTGTGGACTCACCCTTTCATAAACTACAATTCTTCCAATTTTGGGGTAGGAATCGAGCGTCAGCTTTTCATCAAGGAGCCGTCGGGGCGGCTGCCAGCCATGGTGGAGTGGTGGAACGGCATCGGGGCCATCCTGGACTTCACCAACCCAGCAGCCCGGGACTGGTTCCAGAGCCACCTGCGCCAGCTCCGACACAAGTACGGCATCTCATCCTTCAAGTTTGATGCGGGTGAGACCAGCTACCTGCCCAAGCAGTTCAGCACCTTCCGCCCGCTCTCGGACCCCAGCATCTGGTCACGACGCTACACGGAGATGGCCATCCCCTTCTACGAGCTGGCCGAGGTGCGGGTGGGCTATCAGTCACAGAACATCTCCTGCTTCTTCCGCATCATTGACCGTGACTCTGTCTGGGGCTACGAGCTCGGCCTCAAGTCCCTCATCCCCACAGTGCTCACCATCAGCATGCTGGGCTACCCCTTCATATCCGCTGACATGATCGGTGGGAATTTTTTTCCCAACAAGACAGACGGGGCAGTGGAGATTCCCGACCGGGAGCTGTACGTGCGGTGGCTGGAGCTGTCGGCCTTCATGCCCTCCATGCAGTTCTCCATCCCGCCCTGGCTCTACGACAGGGAGGTGGTGGAGATTGCGCAGAAGTTCACGGAGCTCCATGAGTCACTGGTGGCCCCACTGCTGCTGGAGCTGGCTGGGGAGGTCACCGACACGGGTGACCCCATCATCCGTCCCATCTGGTGGATCTCACCCCGTGACGAGGCCACTCACAGGATCGACTCCCAGTTCCTCATTGGGGACACCCTCATGGTGGCACCCGTCCTGGAGATGGGCAAGCAGGAGCGTGATGTCTACCTGCCAGCGGGCAAGTGGCGCAGCTACAAGGGGGAGTTGTTTGAGAAGACCCCGGTGCTGCTCACGGACTACCCTGTTGACCTGGATGAAGTTGCCTATTTCCTCTGGGTTTCTTAACAGGCTTCTCCATCACCTTTGGGATAACCATGCCTTATCTAGTACTTTGTAAGAAATAATAATTCTAATTGCACATTTTGTTTGGACTTGGGCTGAGGAAGGGAATTAAATAGACTTCACTGTCCTTGGGGTAATTTTTTTTTTATCTGAAATGGGGATTGATTATTTTTTTTTTGTTGTTCTTTTGGGGCAGGTGGGAGACTCTGGTTGGGTTACACTAGGCAGAATTTTCTCTGTCTAAGTCAGGAAGGAGTTGTCAGTTTGTCTGCAGACGTAGTAAATCCAATACCTTTTTGGTTCCCAAGGATTTCAAGATGTGTAGGTTGGTTAGTGCCAGTGGGAGCGTTTATGGTCTCATGGGAGGACCCAGTGCTGGGCATGGGGGAATGCGATGTGGGAGGCTTGCTACAGCACAGCCTCCTGTATGTTTTATAATACGGCAAATATATTTAAGAGAAATTTTTTAAGATCAGAAAACAAACTAGACTTACGTATATACACACATATGTTTTTTTCCCCCTAACAGTTGCCCCATGATCCTGCTTTCCAGGGTAGCAGGCAGGCCGGGTTACCTGAGTGATGTCCAGGTATTTTAACTGTATGGGCTGCATATCGCTTGCTGGGGCAGCTACATCCCACCTCTTCGCCCATTTAACACCCACTGCAAGGCACTTGCCTGTGTCTTTTGCCTTGGGTGTCAACATTGCCTTTCCTAGAGCAGTGCTGCCCATAACAGCATGCCCCATTAGTCTTTTTAAAGCATTTATGGCCCTGCTTCATTACATGATTATCCTGCTGATAATAATCCTCCTGGTTTTTAGGGACAGATGAGCTTTCAGGTTTGTTGCTAGCAGAAGGACTGCCTGGAGCAAAGCTGTTCTCAAAAAGTACGTGTGGCGCTTCCCTGGGAACAGCCGGTTCCCGCGAGTGGCACGTGTCTTGGATTGACGGTGATGTTTGCTGCTAGCCGGCTTGCCGGTGGGTGGAAAACACTGGCTTTTGCACTGATGGGTCTGTGCCAGCCGATGTTCTCACTTCACCCGCAGAAATGTTCTCATCTACCGTGAAATTATGCTAATACCCATCTCCGTCTCAGGTGGCAGCTGGGGGTGATGATTTTGTTGAGGGTTTTTCTGAAGCAGCCCACCCTGGGAGAATTAGGGGCCTTCCTCAGGCAGCATCTGTGGTGCTGGAGGTGGAGTTGCTGTCAGAGGCTTCTGGAGGGGACACAGGCAGCTGGAATGGAGCTGCAGGGATGCTTCTTTCCCAGCTTTCCCATTTGCTTTTGTACGGGAAGATGCATTTACAGAGAGCTGTGGGCAATCTCTGCTCTGAGACACGGCAAACAGGATTGAAGTCTGGCAGCCTTCCTCCCCAGGGGAGGACATTCCCATCTGTGCCCTGGTTGGCAGCGTGTTTCTGCCCCTGAATTTTTAATGAATCTCTGCAGAATTGAACTGCATTGGCTGAGAAGGTTTGGGGCACCCTGCCCAGGCTACAGCCAGCCAAGGAAAGCTCAGCATCTGCGGTGATTCTTACGGGATTTTGTCTGGGCTGAGCATGGGTCCAGCACGAGTCTGCCACCCAGGCAGATGGTGCTCTGTTTTGGGTAGAGTTGGGTACCAATGGTCTTTCCCAAAGTCCATCTCCTGCCACACAGGGTTTGCAGGAGGCAGAAAAGGAGATACACTAAACCTGGGGGTTGAATGGGGCTCAGGAGTAGAAATTTAGATGTTGGGGGCAAAATCTGAAGTGCTTTTATAGTTAGGAAGGAAGTGAGGAGGTCCAGTTTGATGGACTCTTTGGAGCATCCCTTGAGGTCTGAATCTGCCCTGCATAATTTGTGTTTCAGCCTCAAAATGAGATGCAGGGGAGCTGTGTCCCAAAGCCTGTTTCTTGTGGCTTTTAACTATGAAGGACTCAGGTTTGGTTCCTGCCACCAGCACAAATAGTGGTTATGTTACAAGTTACAGGCACCCTCTGGCAAGGAGTTAATCCTGGAGCCTCAGCATCAGTCATCAGGGCACTGGCAGGATTTGGCCCTTGGACTGGAGCGTGGAGGTGAAGGTGAGGAGCTCCTGGAGATGAGTGTGACCACAGCCTGCAAAGAGGACAGGGTGCAGAGGGCTTCTCCAGCCCCAGAAGTGCACAAAGGCTGTGCTTGGAGGGGCTCCAGCTCTTCCCTTTCAACCTTTGCTTGCGAAACACTTGTCCTCCCATGTCTTGGGAGTCATTGGGTGGAGATGTTGCTTCATGGCTCAGCTGCCAGTGAAGAAGTGGGATCCTTGGCACAGGACTTCATGGGAAGGATCCCAGCGTGACCAGATGCGTGTCTTCTCCTCTGTCTCTGCTGTGCCACTCACCACACCCCTCACTAGTAAGGGGTGAGGCTATTTGAAGAGAAACACACAATTCCTGTTAGTGCACCTTTATATTAAAATGTGGGAGCAGCCGAATGAGTGCCTTAAATCTTCTCACAGTGATTTCAGGTGCTGTCAGGAAGGTCATGGAGGAAGTTCTTCATTAGACATGCTGACTTCTTTCTTCTCCCCTCAAAAGAAAGGATTTTATTATCAAAGTTTTAATTATCTTTTTATTTAACTATATGAATAAATGGGTAAGATTGTAAAGTACCCTTATTTTTCTAAATGCGGTAGTTAGAGCGTAAGTGGCTGTGGCTATTCAGGGCTCCAGATAGGAAAAAGGTAAAGCTGCTGGGAGGACATAAGGGATGATGCTGAAGAGCAAGTCCATATGGGTGGCTCTCTGGGGGTCCGTGGCACCAAGCCTTCCCCATATGTTGACGACAGGCTCAGCAGTGCTGTGTGCTGCCTCAAGCTATCTCACAGGCTTCTAGGTGTACTTTCCATCCAACATTTTACCAAAACCACTATTTCTAACACTATGCTGTAGCACTGCAATACTTGAGGACCTCTAGGACCTTGCAGATCACAAGCACTCTGTGCACAGACACCTTGGGAACTGCTACTAGGGAGATTCCTCTGATTTACACCATGGGTCACTGGCCAATGCAGGGTTTAGTTCAACTCAACCTAGGAAAAACCCCAAAACAGGTTTGGGTATTGGATTCAACCTTTTCCATCCCAGCCCACAGCAGACTGCAGCTGAGCAGCAGCAGGTCAATGTGATGCCCATGTGACTGAATTTTGAAGCTTGCACTGTCATGTATCGGGTTTTATGGATGCTTCTGTTTGCACACACTGTCCTACATCGAACTGTAATGCTGGTGGGTTTGTTTTTAACCACTTTTCTAATTCTTAATTGTAATGAAGACAGAACTGTAACATGAATCACCTTGATTGATATAAAATTTTGGAAAACAAAAGGAAGTTTAACTATGTCCATCTGTACCAAGTACGTGGGGCTGATGGTTTGGGCAGATTAGGGGCTTTTTTCACCCTAGACTTCACTAAAATCAGAGCTGAGATTGCTGGTGTATTTAAAGCTCACTGCCTGCAGCTTTGATATATTTTTTAAAGGGAGCAGCTGACAGGCACCCCACTCTTGTGTTTGGAGTGGTGGCAGGAGACAGGGATACGGGGATGACCCCAACAGATCATGGATTGCCCTTCCTTGGGGACCCACAACAAATGGAGTAGCTGTGCCTTAGGGCTGTCCTGGAGAAGACTGTGTCCAGGAAAACCCTGATGTTATATCCACCGCTGGGGGTGGGAACCACACTATCATGCCCCTATTTTTTTCTGACAACCACCCGAAAAGGGCCTATTGATGCTGACTTGGGGGAGTTTGCTGGTCCACACTGCTCTCAGAGCACACGTGCTTTGGGACTGTTTGCAGGCACTGAAGAAGAGGAGGCTGCTCTCGGCTTTCCTCAGGCACTCCAAAAGTTCCATCTGGGCCCTGGCTGTCCCCACTGGCCCCGGGGTCCCCCTTTCCAGGTGGCACTGATGGCCAGGACAGGGACAGAATAGATGTTTGTGGCTATGGCAGTGCAAGAAATGGAGTATGTGAAACTCATTAGGAGCCTGCCTTGTCCCACGCCACTCCTTTTGCCCCACACAGTTTTTCCTGCTCTTTCTGTTGTTACTGTACAAAGCACAGCCTGCCTTGTGCCACCCAGACATCACTAGCACTGGCCAACACGTGCGGCTTGGCTTGAGGAATGAGAGGAACTTTGATTTACTCTTTTTGCAATAAAAGACATTTTCCCGATGCTTTTCCTTTGTCTTCTCCCTTGGGTGTGAGCAGCATCCATACACTTGGCTGAGGCTCACATATGGGGGTGAAGCTGATGCTGGCTGGAGGTTGGCAGCTTGCAGCATTTACAGCCTTGCAGCAAAACCTCAATAACGCAGAAGTCCTCATTGAAATCAGTGGGTTTGGATTTGGTTTGCATCCTCCCAAGACCTGGTGCTGTGTGCAGGGATGGTGTGTGAGGCTCGCCAAGGAGCTGGGGACAGTGAGTGGGGTTTGCTCTGTGCTGTGTCCCAGCTAAGTGGCAGTGCTTGAAAACACATCCATAGCTGTGTATGGCATGGGGAGGGGTGTTAATGGCAAAGTCCAAACCCCAGTGGAGCAACTGCAAAAGCCCAGTTCGTTCCAAACCAGATTTCAAAGAGTTGCCTATGAGTGACAGCAGAGCAGTGGCTGCTGATCCATGAGATTCTGGCCAGGAGTGTGCCCTTCCCTACCTGAAATCCCAGCTTTTATTAAAAGCAAGAAAAAAATGACAGGCAGCCTAAGGCCAGGGAGGACTGTGGTGAAAGGACAAGCTGACAGCAGCAGAGTCCTTCTGGGCACATAGCCAGGCTGGCAGCCTCAGGAAAAAAACAACCTCCTCAATCGCAGCTTGGCTGGAGCCAGGCAGGAGCTGCCAAGCCTGCAGATCCCTCACGCCAGGAGCACCATAAAGATGGTCTGAGCTGATGTGAAACCCCAGAGTTTAAGCAGAGGAAAGTAGAGATCTTTACTGATTTTATTATTCTTTTGTGCCAAAAGGGCTGTCTGGTTTTTATCTCAGTGATCATATAAAACAATAAACTCCTCATCACTAGCGAAAAAACAGGCAGCCTGGGGTGAGCAATGGCCCCGTGTCACCAGCACCTCCAGCAACCAGTTCTTGTTTGGCACTGGGAGTGCAAAAAGCCAACCAGGACTGAAGCTTAGCAAGGCAAACAAAATGTCCCTCTGGCAGAGCACAGCCCTGGCACAGCAGGAGGGTGCGGAGAGGCGGCCGCGGTGCTACCTGCTCGCAGGATGCCTCCAGCATCACTCCCTGTGGCTCCCTACAGCTCAGCTGGGCAGCTGGGAGAGGCACTGGGGGAAAGATTGGAAAAAGATGGGGATTTGTGGGAGAGATTTTCTGCAGTCAGATGGGATCAGGCAGCTCATATCGTCCCAAGTTCGCAGAAAGTCTCGGTGATGCTTTCTTCTCCCCACCCCAGCCTGTGATGCGAGTGGACGGCAGAGCCGTGCATGTGCATATAGAGCACACTGATTATAGAGGCAGAGGTGCTGTATGAGGGGGCTGGAGCCTGGCTCTTCCACCTCTCCCCAGCACTGTGGGCATCAGCTTTTCAGAAAGCTTTTTTCTTGATGCAACAACAGCCAGAGGAATTTTTCTGGGGCTCCCTGGGGCCCTCTGGTTGCTGAAGCCCAGCTGTCAGGGATCCCTCAGGACTTCAAAGCAGCAAGGGAGAGAAAGCTTTCAGAAACACTTTCTCCTCCTTAGGGGTGATATAAAGCCCATGGTAAGGACAGAGAGATAGTCTGTTAACCCTGAACACCACTACCAGACCTAGCACTGCTTTCCCTTTCACATCCCTGAGTTAAAGCAGGGTTTTCCCTCTCCATTAGCACACCAGCAATAGCATTACTGTGACTCTAGCTGCTTTCAGGGGCATTTAGAAGATGTTCTGGCTCATCCCACTTGGCATTGCTCTTGTGCAACCATGACCATGCAGGGTCCTTGTGGTGTAACAGACCCACTAATGGGCAAAGGGAGTCTGAGCCGGTTTTGGGGCTGCTTCACCTGAGCACCAAACCAGCTCTGGAGAGAGTCTGATGCTCTCCAGCTCCTGTTTACTTTTTTATATGGGCCAGCTCTGGGACAAACCTGTAAAGAAAGGAACTTTCTCCTGTCTTAGGGCCACACACAGCTTTTCCTTGCAGGTGCCTACTAGCAGCACACTGGCGTCAGCAAAGAAATCAACTTCTCATTTCGGTGCATTGCTGCCAATGGCATATGGCAGCCCAGAGACCCCAGGAGTCTCCTAAGCTGCTCAGTCATGTCACCTTTAAACTGTTCTTTGTTTAAAAACAAGGCATATTGGACCAAGGGTGGAGAGCATTTCATAGCCAGTCAGCCCACCCCAAGCCTGCAGGTGCTGCTGAGACACCTTCACGCGGAAGAAGTCACCTCCATGGGCAGAAGGATACCAGCTCATGGACAAAGATGTCCCTCAACACAGCTGGTGGCATGGGAGAACATTGTCCATGGGGAAACTGAGGCACTCAGGCACTTGGGCTGGTTTGTTAATTACCTGAACTCTCTCAGAAGGATGATGGCTGAGTCGTCTCCTGAGACCTGACAGATTGCAACCTTTGGCTCGAAATGTGGTCCCAAAACACACATGGATCCTATTAGGTCCTAACCCAAGCATGACTTGCTGCTAGGTTTTAATCTTGACGGCCATGAGATTTCATCACACTCCTCCATCAGCACGCATCTGATGTGCAGGCTGAAAATTGAGTGCCTTTCTCTTCAGCATAATCACAGGCTGCTTTTTGTAAGAAAAGTATTCTGCTGCAACTGCCTTCTTCAATAAGTAAATGAAATTATAATATCTCAAGGGATCAGCTGTAAAACTCGGTAAGAAAGGAGTCAATGTAATTTCCTTTATAAACAAGAAGCGTGCATAACATTACTTGCTGGAAAAATATTACAAGCAGGGATTGTGTTTCTATACATTGCATTTGTCATACTGCAATAACAAAGACAGCCAGCCAATAGATTTTAATAAGCTAATACACAGCATTGCCACACAAAACAGATTTCACAGTGTTTTCTTCAAATTCCATACTGAAGTATTCCTACTTTAAAAACTATCAAAATTTCCAGGTCATTAAAGTCATTGGTTCATTAACCCCTGAGATGATTACACAGATGACAGGGGAGCATCTTAGGAAACCCGGAGGAAATAGGCAACTTCATCCAGGTCAACAGGGTAGTCCGTGAGCAGCACCGGGGTCTTCTCAAACAACTCCCCCTTGTAGCTGCGCCACTTGCCCGCTGGCAGGTAGACATCACGCTCCTGCTTGCCCATCTCCAGGACGGGTGCCACCATGAGGGTGTCCCCAATGAGGAACTGGGAGTCGATCCTGTGAGTGGCCTCGTCACGGGGTGAGATCCACCAGATGGGACGGATGATGGGGTCACCCGTGTCGGTGACCTCCCCAGCCAGCTCCAGCAGCAGTGGGGCCACCAGTGACTCGTGGAGCTCCGTGAACTTCTGCGCAATCTCCACCACCTCCCTGTCGTAGAGCCAGGGCGGGATGGAGAACTGCATGGAGGGCATGAAGGCCGACAGCTCCAGCCACCGCACGTACAGCTCCCGATCAGGAATCTCCACTGCCCCGTCTGTCTTGTTGGGAAGGAAGTTTCCTCCAATCATATCTGGCAGTACAAACGGGTAGCCCAGCATGCTGATGGTGAGCACTGTGGGGATGAGGGACTTGAGGCCGAGCTCGTAGCCCCAGACAGAGTCACGGTCAATGATGCGGAAGAAGCAGGAGATGTTCTGTGACTGATAGCCCACCCGCACCTCGGCCAGCTCGTAGAAGGGGATGGCCATCTCCGTGTAGCGTCGTGACCAGATGCTGGGGTCCGAGAGCGGGCGGAAGGTGCTGAACTGCTTGGGCAGGTAGCTGGTCTCACCCGCATCAAACTTGAAGGATGAGATGCCGTACTTGTGTCGGAGCTGGCGCAGGTGGCTCTGGAACCAGTCCCGGGCTGCTGGGTTGGTGAAGTCCAGGATGGCCCCGATGCCGTTCCACCACTCCACCATGGCTGGCAGCCGCCCCGACGGCTCCTTGATGAAAAGCTGACGCTCGATTCCTACCCCAAAATTGGAAGAATTTCTGTGTATAAAGGGATGAATCCACAGGGTGACCTTAAACCCATCTTCCCTCAGTTTTGCAAACATCTCCGTCACATTGGGGAACTTGATGGGGTCAAAGTCAAAGTCTCCATAGGCTTGTGTGTACATGTCATCAATTTCAATATGGCTACAGTTAAAATGGTACTTCTTAATCTTTTCGGCAAATCGCAAGAGTTTATCCTGGTCGATGTCGTTCTTGTAAAGGGCCCAGGTGGACCAGATAGGGTATCGGAAGGCGTTCTCGGCAGGGATCTTGGAGGGCTTGTTGAAGTACCGGCGCACCATGTACTTGTGGATGGAGGTGATGTCGGAGCCCACGCAGACCCGGTAGCTGAGCTCGGGGAAGGGCTGCTGCCCTGGCGGTGGCTTGTAGGGCGAGTCCTTGTAGCGGGCCTGGAAGAAGAGGGTGCGCTCGGTGGCGTTGAAGCCCAGGTGGAAGGGCACGGAGTCATTGATCTTGATGGCCGCCGCCTTGGAGGAGAGCCAGTAGCGCTCAAGGATGCCACCGAAGCTGTCGCGGAAGGAGTAGACGTCGCTGGTCACGTAGGGCACGGGCTCCTGGTAGCCGGCCAGGCGGATGGGCCAGTGCTGGGTGCTCATCTCCGAGCCCCCGTACCAGTGGGCATCTTCCCAGAACATGGTGTGCTCCACCGCCGGGCCGGCCGCCAGCTCCTCCCAGCGCACGCGGTAGCACATCACCGTGTCCTTGGGCTTCACCGTCTGGATGAAGAAGTTGAGCGGCCCCCGGCCCGACCGCGTGCAGCTCAGGATCTCACCCTCCTTGGAGCACGACTCCAGGTCGAGGCGGCCCGAGCGGAACGCCAGACGGAAGACCACCTCCCCGTGCTGGTTCCTGATGACGAAGCCGTCTGCCCGCAGGTCCATCAGCTCCGTCTTGAGCCGCTCCGCCTTCCGCAGGGACACCGTGTAGTAGCACCAGGCCACCACCGCAGCAATGAACAGGATGAGGCCCAGCAAGATGGCCCCGAGCATGGGCCGCAGCTCCTTGGAGGGCTTCTGCTTCACTTGCATGACGTTTCCAGGCAAATGCGTTTCTTTGGCGTACCCTTGCTGAGTGTTTCCATGTCTTCCTGCACGGTAGGTAATCAGACTGTCCATGATGCCTTCGAAGCATCAGAACCCCGTTAGACACTTTGCCGCTGAATTTTTTTCTCCAGCTGGTGAACAGAAAACCCAGGATGCTCTGCGAAGATGCTCACAGTCTCCAAAGCCTAGCCACTCACACCTGCAGCGTTATTTCATGAAACAGAGAGCTATAAACACCAAAAAAAACAATTAAATCTTGTAGCTCTTCTCTTCCCATCTGCAGCCTAGCAGCTTCCCTGGCCCGGCAGCTCTGACTTGCTCTGCTCTGTGCGGCAGCAGCCTGTTCACTGACAGCTGGGCTGAGCTTTTTCTGATCAGGGCTGTGCCAGTTTTCCCGTGACCCCTCTCTTGGCTGCAGCCTTGCTGCTCCCCGCAGAGCAAGGGCAAAGGGATGAAAGTCAGGCTGGAGCCTGGAGGGGAATGGGGCCAGGGAAAGGGGCTGGTACCTCAGCATACAGTCCGTTCATCACAAGCTGCTCTGTTCTTACATTAATTATACACCCTGCTGGATTTCCCCACCTGTCCACAACTTCTCTGCATTAAAGGCAGGCAGAGAAATGTTGTGCTGAAGTGCCCAGCCTCTGCCCACATTTCCCTACCACCCCCCAGGGATGCAGCCAGCGAGTGATGTTTTATCTCTCTGTACTTTGCTCCTTCTCTGAGCTGGATGGGGACGTGGGGATGAATGTGCTCTGTGGACAGTGCTGAGCTGCTCTGGGGTGGCTGGGCAGAGCCCTTCAACTGGCGGGGGAAACTGAGGCAAGTGACTTGAGGCAACGCACTCTGTGCAGCCAGGCTCCCGGCTTCCTTGGCCCCATCCTGGGGTCTGTGTGATCTGACAGGATGAAAATTTTCAGCAGCAGCCTGTATGCAGAGGGGGAAAAAGAGCCAGCTTGGTCACCCAAGCCATGCCCAGCAACAAATGCTGGGTGTATTTACCCATGCCACCATGACATCAGTATCTAAGTATACAGAGATGATAAGCTGCTCAGGGATCATTAAAAATACCAGAGGTCACCACATTTGGGATTGATTGCAGCAGTCTCCCAACCACCTGAATGAGCAGCTCGATTAGTTTTTGTACTGCATTCTCAGTATGAGCAAAGCTTTGTTGAGAAAAAGATCTGGAGCGGATAAAAATGGTCCCAGGCAAGCCCTGGCTGGGGTCAGGGGTAAGAGAAGGATGGTTATTACTGCCCTAAAGAGACTGTGATCCAGGACAAGAATGGTTTTGGGGAGCAGGTTGGGTTACCTGCATGCTTGGAGCACTCTGCCAGTCCCAAAGTGCTCAGACCTGGCAGCCTCCCCGGTGCTGGCCTGGCTCCTGACATGTCTTTGTGGCTCCAGCTCAGACGGTTTCCAGTGAAACCTTGGTGTTTTTGTAAAAACAACCTTTTTGCTTTGAAGATGTTTTTATGTGCTGTGTCAGTCCTCAGTTGCTGCCCCCGAGCTTTCCTCTTCTTCCTTCCTTCTTTCGCCCTCCCTGCCAGCCTGGAGACAGGACTCTTTTTTAAATGAGCCCCAACATTTCCCAGGGTGAAAAAACAAGGAAGAGAAGGGGAGAGGAAAATTTCTTTTCCAGGACTTTTGCATTGTTGGGGTTTTTTTGGTTTGGTTTAGTTTTTTTGGTTAATATTAAACAATACACAAAGGGAAAAAAAAAAAAAAAAAAAAAAAGAGAAAACCAAACACAGGGACATCAGGACTGCAAAATCCCTACAATAATAAAGGAGGTACGGGAAGTTTCCCAGCTTTCTGTGTGGTGCCTTGTCTCCCAGACAATTCCTTTAAATCACTCAATTTCCCCAGGGCCAGAAGATCAGTGGCAGAAAGATGGTATATAAGGGAGTCAGGGCTTCTGGGCCAAGCTGTCTTGTCCCCAGGACTTTTGGGGTTTTACTCCTTCCTATGATGTGGCAGTATGCTGCGTTGGTACCCCAGCCCTGATCCTCACAGAAGAGAGGTTTGATGTGGGTGGTCAGTGGGAAAAGCAGGCGCTGGCACATTTGGAGACAGAGCAGGATGAAATTGGGATTGCCAGGATAGGCCCCACCAGAGTAAGGGAGTCTCTGAAGCTGCTAACTCCTGCTCTTCAAGGTTTATGTCTCATGAAAACATTAAACATCTGCTGGTTTAGCAGGCAGCCTGAGTGCAGTGAGCACTTAGCTCACTGAGGGCAGTGAGAAGGAGGTTCACATAAGTGACCCAGAACCCAGATCCAGACTTTTCCTTGATGTGTCCATGGGGTTATGGCATCACAGCATCCTTTCCCCATGAATATTTAACTGATCCTTGCAAAGCCTCTCTGCTCCGGTGAGTAATTAATTAATACATGCAAAGTGCAATTGCTTCCAAGTAATGATGGGTGGCCAAATGCTCCCATACCACCCCAAAAGCCATATGTCCCAGGGATGCAGGCACTATTGTGTTATATTTGGGCTTCTTTATCAGACACTAATTTGGTATGGGTCTGGCCCCATCAGTCCCCCAGGTCTTCCTCCAGAAGGAGCCAGAATTCTTCACCCTGAGGATGTAAGTGGCTCTTAGCATGCACAGATTAAACATTGACATAACCAGGACCGTGACAGGCAGAAAATGAGTTGGGACTTTAGACCCTCTTAAACAGGAGCTAAGCAAGGGTGTCCAGTGATGAAATGCATGTCAGCCAGCTCGAAGGGCAGCTATGTGCCTAAACCCCTTTGTGCACCTACCCTCAGAGCTTCCTTCCTCCAGACCAAATCTATCCTCAGCAACCCCCCCCTGAACTCTTGACACATGCGGCATGAGTTTTTCAGGCCTCAGTTCAGGTCCCAGCTGTGTGGTTCCTTAATCCTCGGAGTTTTGTCATTCCAATATGTTTACCTGCCTGCTGGTGCAGGGAGAGCATCACTCATCAAATAACCCATCAGGAAACAATTCTGTCTTTAAATAAAGGGAGAGCTTTCTATATTAAGATTCTTTTTATAACAGGTTATCAAACACTTAGGAGTTGCTATCAGGCGCTCAGAGGGAGAGTATACAACATGTTCTAGCAGAAAGCACCATAGGTAGCTATAAGTCATGGTCATAAGCAAACTATTGCCCTGTCAAACTCTGCAAGAACTGATTAATCATTTACTGAGTCCTTTTAGATTGTTTCAAATAGGACCTTTTAATAGAAAACACACCCAAAGCAGAAAGCAGTTCCCATCAGCTCTCATTTCCCATAGCAGCCTGGCATTGTATGGGGGATTTATTGCTAAAAGGGGCCCAGGGGAGGTTTGCTCGCCATTTTTTCTGTGTGTATAGATGACATGAAAAAAGAGGTAACTTATCACTGCAGCCAAGGAGGGGGAGTGAGGGAGAGCCAAGGTTATCGCATGAGCTGACACAGATTAACTAGAAAGCCAAGAAGGCTTAACGCAAAGGGGAAGTGGCTGGGGGATGGATGCAGAGGGTGAAGTGACACTGCCAAGGATGCTCTGCAGTCCATGTGATGCAGGTTGGGGCACCAATGTACTTGCCAGAAGCACTCAGCACTTCGGGAACACCTGGAGCAACCCCAGGAGGTGGCCCAGGAGAGGCACAGCCAGAGTCCCTCCCACAGTGTGGTGCAGGATCCTGCTCCTCCTGGGGAAAAAGATCCCTTGTGTGCCAAAGCAAAGAGGATATTTATTAGCCAAAGCATTCCATGCACCCTTCACCCCATCTGTGAGCTTTGAGCAATTCCTGATAGCTCTAGAAAGGGCAACAGGGATGGCTGGTCTTACCACTTCGACCCTTGGCCCATGGGGATCTCACCTGGGTCCTTGGGCTGAAACAGCAGTTTGGTTCATATTAACCCCGTATCAGCAGCAAAGTCTGAGCTGCTGGGAGGCTAGTGACTATATCCTGCAGGGATGCACCAGCAGCATGGAGAGACCTGCTCACACCCACCAGACTGCTCTGAACAGGCTTATTTCTGGCAGTCATGCTGATTTAGGGGTCTCTGCACGGATCCCCATGGATCCTGATGCCTGAAGGGCTTTTAGCTCATCTCAGCATGAAGGTGGTTGCACACACTCTGTTGGCTTGTGCCTGTTCAAAGTGTTGCTGCAAAACTGATAACTCCATGCAAGACTGACAGTGCTATAAGCCCCCTGGAGCCATGTAAATCCAGCTCAGGTCTTGAGCAGAAATATTACCTGTGATTTTTCTTTATCTGGGAATAAAACGGAGTTTACTGCACAGGTTTTTCAGTTCTAATTGACATAGGAGCAGGCAGTGGAAAATCCCACTCCTCCTTCCCAAGTTGTCAGAAAAAGACCTTCAAAATCAACTTTTTTCCCCATTTCAGGGTTATCCTGACTCCTGAGCTCGCACACAGTTTCCATGTGCTGCTCCAAGCTGCAAGTAGTGGTCACAGCATCCAGCTGCACACTGAGCGCCACTCTGCCAGCATCCTTGGGAAGGAGCTCCATCTGCTGAGCCAGTGGCCCAGGCTGAAATCCAGGGAGAGTTGCCAGGAGTTTCCAGGCTGTGGGATGACCTGCCATCAGGCGTCCCTCAGGCAGCACCAACCCCATCAGACCCTGTTGTATCAGGATCAGTGCTTGTGAGGAGCTCCAGGGAGTTTTTGAGGTGCCTTCCCCTGATGAAGAAGCAAACCAAGAAGAGAGCAATAAGCAAAGTGCAGACAAGGGGAAAAAAAGTCGTGTGCTGCAGCTGCGATTGTGTGAGCAGGCTGGGGCACAGTGAAAATATAGGAAAAGGGAGCATAAAAAGGGCGTTGTCATCTCAGGCTGCTCTGAATGAAGTCAGTGATTTGGGCTTGTGCCAGGTGAAGGAATAAACCAGAAAGGGACCTGAGTCTGAGCTGGGCTTTCTCCCACTTAGACACAGGCTCAGACTCCTTGGCTTGACTCAGAACTTACCCAGCTTCGACCAGGGCAATGAAAGCCCATCTTCAAAGCAGATGTGGGTGGAGGAATGAGTTGTGATTAGTGCCAGCCAGCAGCCAAAGAGATGCAATAAGGGTCCTACCACCAAAACTCGGCCTGGTCATAATCAAGAGAGATTTCCCAGGGTTTTTCAGAAATTACCCCACATGGCTGAAGCTGATCCTTTCACAAGCACTTTGAACCAGGCATCCAGATGGAAGAACCTGCAAAAGGCCAGACAGATGACAAGAAAGCTACTGAGCATTTGCACCCTGCCCAAAGGAAGTTACCCAGGAAGAGAAGAAGACTTCACCCTTAAAATACTGAACAACTGGAGACTTCCCCAGAGACTCAGCCTTCGTCACCCTGGGGACCTGGTGTGAGTTTTGCCTTTCCTGTCCTGGGGTGACACTGAGGGTACAGGACTGAGCTCAGATTTTAAGCTGCTTGCTGATGTCCCCAGTGTCATACAGACTCTTGCTGGCTCCAAGGCTGGGGTGAAAGCCTGATGGATGGCTGTGCTGTGCTTGGGCATCCCACAGGTTTTAGGCTAGTGAAATATTTGTCTCTGCTTGCTCTCACAGATGCTGTGTGCTAGAAAGAAGTGCCTGTCCCACACCAGACAGGGATGCAATTGGGTGTCTGCTGAGTGGTCCCTGTGTTTGAACATGTGGTGGGTAGTACCATGTCCCCATCGGGAGATGAAGTTCCACTTAATCATTACTTCACTCTCATTAAATTCACCATGGGTTGCAAAATTATGAGAAAAGGCAGTGCACCCATCAAACTGATGATGGATCCAAGAACAAGGCTGCTCCATGGGACTCAGGTTGGCAAGGACTAACCAGTGCGGAAATTATGTGACTGAGATCCATCAATTATGGGACTATCCTGCTCCATGTGTGAGAGGCAACAGCTGGAAAGTAGCTTGCTCTCTCCTCGGGGCAGCCCAGGAAAAGCTGTGGAAGTGATTTGAAGAAAGCATCCCTACGCATGAGGCTGCACCATGCCATAAACAAGCCAATGCATCACATTAGAATGGGCTCTAAGGCTACAGAGCAATTTCATATGTAAATACTTTCTTGCATGTATAAGAAGTAAGGCCAAAGCGGCATCCTGAAACCCTAAAAATATCAGTGGTTGATGTTCAGCTGGTTCACTTTGGTCTGTGCTGACACACCACTTTTAAACTGACCACTATTCTCCAGGGTTTAAAAATGGCATCGGCTTCTGGATCAGGCTGTCCACAACCCAGTGCTAGTGAGGGGTTCAGTGGCAGCCTGAACATCCTGTATTTCATTAAGGGGTTGCCAAAGCTGGAAAAAAATAATTTGCCTTTGGATACAGTGTTATAATTGTATCTCTGAATGGAGCAGATCTCCAGATGGAACAGATCTCCATATAGAGCTGACCTCTGGCCTAGAGCTCCAGGGCATTGTGGTGAACAGCAAAAAGATCAGCTGGATTCTGTGCTATGGCATCCCTCCTCATCCTCAATGCCAGCCAGAGGTGATGGCACCAGACCCAGGAGACAGCTGAGCAGAGATGCTTCAGGACACCAGATGGGAAGAGGAGCACCAGCATGTGCCCTCTAGAAGAAAAGTTGCAGACTTCCCTTCCTTTCCTTAGGGCAAGGAAGTGAACGTGGCTTAACAGCAGGTGGGAGAGGTTATTTGAAGCAAGAAGATATCCTTCAAAAGGCTGGAATCACACCCTGAAGAGGAAAATACTTGGATTTCCTAAAGAATTTGCACAGAGTTTAAAAGGCCCCAGTAGGAACAGAGGAGACTCAGAGTAAGAAGGAAGGTCCTGGAAAGGTTAAATATTTGAAGAAAGAAGGGAAGTGCTGAGAATGATGACATGATTGTTCTCCCCACGGAGGTGACAGGGGAGGGCCCAGGACAAAATCTGAGCTGCCCATCATGAAGAGGCACAGCATCTGCTAAACATATTGGGATTGGGAAATCCTGAGCTGAAAATGTCAGGAAAAGAGTAGGGGATACACTTACTATTTTCTTAGTTTTCACTTGGCATCCTCTGTGGGTCCCTGCTGGATTCAGACTTGGAGTAGACCCGTAGGCTGACCCTGTATTGTCTTTTGCATGCTAACACTGCAGCAAAGACCCCTGATGCTCCCCAACCCGGCAGGAGTAGAACACCTTCCTGGCACATACAGGAAAAGGTTTTCTGGGTGTTAAAAAACAACTGTGCTCCAGTAGATTGGGAGAAATCTGGGATTCGGGAACACAGAGACAGACTTCATGTCTTTGGGCAGATCACAGCCTCTACATGCCTCAGCTCCCCTTGTGTGAAATGGATGGAAGGGCCATGAGGAGAAACACAGGCAACGTAGCAGGTCCCAGAGTTTGAGCAATAGCAGGATCCATGGTAGAAGAGCACAGCAACATTTTCATCAGGATATTCACTGTGATGCTCTCCATCCAGAGGGGAGAGACCCCCACCCTGACATCTTCCCTCTCCTCCTCCTCCTGTGAGAGAGACACAGTCGCTCAGTGGACAAGGTGGGGACTGTGCACTTTCAACCCCAGTCGTGCAGAGGAGAGTTTAACATCTGTGCTTTTTTAAATTAAAAATGTCTGGTATTTAGTGCAACTTGACATGTTCCCCTGAGGAAAAGAAACCAGAAATCCCAAAGAAACTAGTCCTGTGGTATTTTTAGAGTGCGGTGCTACAGCCAGGCAGGAGAAACCTTGCCAGGGCAAGAACTTACCCCAACCTTCCCTTTTGTTTGGCCATATGATATCCCTCACCATATCCATATCTGCCTGGTAAGAAGCCAGTCTGATTTGAAGCCAGATCACCCCTCTGAGAGCAGGAAAACTAGGAACAATCATCCCAGGGCTGGGAAAAGAGGGAACTGCACCTCTGTAAGGCTCTGACCCAAGCCCATGCCCTTTCAAGGATGCCGATGTTGTGCTGTCTTAATTTGACAGCTTGTCCACTAAATGAAGAAGCTCCCAGCTCTCCAGGTGACTCCTGGTGTCATGGGCAGAGCTGGGAGCTGTGACATTGATGCCATCCACAGCTGGACCCCAAAAGTAAAAATGAAGCCATCACTTCTGTGTGTTTTTATGCAAAAGGATTAATGATATATCTAGGTGAGAACAACCCCAGTAAGCATGTCAGACAGACAAGTGCAGAAAGGATGGGACTGAATGGGAACATCTTGCTACCAAAATTATAACTGGCTTCTCCTGTTACTGTTTCACCCCACAGCCTTTGCTGCTGTCCTTGGGGAGGGATGTGTGGCTTTCCCTCTGTGCAGAGCCCAAACTGATGCATGAAAAGCCAAACTCGACCTGAGCAACCCTCAAAGCAAGCAGGAGGGCAGACCCACTGTGGGATCCTGCTCTCCAACCAGGAGCTCAGCTCCCATTTCCATCACACTCTGGCTCCAGGATGCCCGCAGAAGGTCTGTGAGGCTTTATCTCTACCATGACTTATAATGGTGCTTAAACTCAGCGGGAATACTTCTTCCTAAAGAGAAAATGACCCTGTGACAGCACAGCCAGGCACAGGATTTCAGGAGACACATCCCATGCCCCTCCCGGCACTCCTGACGAACTTTGCCTTTTCTTGCCAGGCCAGCCCTGTATCCTCCTCTGCTCCCAGCCCTGGTGAAGGCAGCCCGCCAGCCTGCTTAGCATTCGGCTCTCGCTGCTGCGAGCAACCGCGGCTGCTAAGGAGCGGGGCTCAGTGGCTGTGAGCATCTCAGTCTGGTGTCCCCCCCCACCCCTTCCTGGCTCATCGTATGATTTCTCCTATGGGATAACCGCTGAGCGGGACCGTGTCTCCAAGCTGATCCTTTGCTGATAAGCTGGCTGCCAAGCCTCCAGCACTAAAACAAAAGAGTTTTTTTCTCTTCCCAGCAGGTTTTTCTGCTGTGAATGACAGAGGAAGGGGGAAAAGCGAACTGCCTGTCACTCCTCGTGGACAAGAGGCTTCGGTGGCTCCTTTGCTCCCACTGTGCTGGCAGACCATGGAGATTTTCAGGCTGAGCCTGGGCTGTATTTGCCTCCTTCCTTGGCTTGAGGGTAAGTTTCTCCTCCTTCGGGATAGCTGGAAAGTGGGAAGAGAACTGCCTCCCCGGTTTTAACCTGCTTTGCTGCTGAAGTGTTGCTTGGGCTGAAAAACTCTGAACCCACCAGCTGTAAAACAAGTGCCTAGCAGCACATTTCAAGGCAGCATTTCAAATGGGATTAAACACAGGGGAACATGAGAGTGAGGGACAGGCTGGCAAGGTGCTGTGATGGTTTGGCCAGGGACACTGGGGCATCATGCCAGCTGCTTTTATAAAGTGCTTTTAAACTGCTAAGAGTAGCAGATGAATAAACCTGCTCTGGGGGTGAAGCGGGCACTAAGTGACCTCTTGAGCACTCTGATCCCTGCCTCAGCTGCTACTTCTCAGCAGAGATTAGTGGACTCAGAGCATGCTGGCAGTATGGGAGAGAGTGGTGGGGGAAGGAGTAGGACCTCTCTGCATCAGTCTTGGTCCTGTGGCTGTTGGCTGTGAGTGGGATGTGCTGGGGAGCTGCAGAGTCTGCACTATTTATCTCTGTGGAGTAAAGTTAGTAGTGGCTCATGTTAACATTCAGCTGCTTGCTGAAATCACTCGAATCCTGTATCCTGCCCATACTCAGGAGTATTTTGAATACAAGCAGCCTTGGTTTTCACATGCATCTGTAGATGGGGAAATCAGAAGTCCTTCCAAGCATCATCATGTGGAAATGGAGTGGTGCTACCCAGGAACAGCTACCTGAGAGGGGTGCCACTCACAGCATCACCCATCCCATCATGGGCAGTGGGCAGAGTCTATTTTCTTTAAAAACAGGTGAAGCCCCTGAGCTATTAAGTATTTCCCTTTTTAATTTGCCATTATACCTGAGATGCCAGGTTGAAAGTGACTTATTGAAATAAATCCCTGAAGTGCTTCAAGGCTTATTCAGTCCCTGGAGCTGCAAGGACAGCCCTACAATTTTACAGGTTACCTGCTCAGATATTTTCAAGCTCCCTAGACCAGAGAATTACAACTATTTGGGCTGCACAGGTGGGATGTTTATTCTTTAAAGACAAACCTCAGACTAGCAGCTCTGACCAGCTACTTTCCATTCCCTGCTCCACAGTCTCTAAGTGCGTGTTCCCTGGGCTGCTTTGAGCAGCTAGCTCTCAGTTTGCTCTGCAGTTAGGTCAAAGGAGAGATTTGTGCTCCTACAGATTGGACTTTTGCTCCATCTACAGCTGGTTTTTGCACCCCAAATATTGCCAATTGAAGTAAATACAGTGAATTGAATCTCTCTTATTTTTAAAGCCCTACGCTGAGGGCATGTCACTATACCAGTGAGGGGTAAGGATACAAGCGCATCTTTTAAAAAGCAATCTGGTTAGGTCACTGTGGTGGGATGCCAGGAGAGCAGAACAGCCTTCAGGGTCTTGCTCTTTCTCTCGCTATAATACAGATCATGTCTGGTGTTAGAAGAAAGTGTTTTTTACTGCTGCCACACAACAGGAGCCCCATGGCTATGTTTTATTAGTAAATTAAGGAGGATCACAGGACATTTCATTTCCAGTGAAATGCTTCTGGTGCAATCGCATGATCAGCCACTGCATTTCAGCCAGATCACTAATAAACCCACAACTGTTTTTCAAGAAAGGAATTTATCTTCCCAATATTTGGCAATGCCTAAAGCAAGCTCAAAGAGCAGAGAGCAAACATGTTCTTGCCTGGGGCTGATCTCCACCCCTCCCTGCAGCAGCCTCTTCCCAGTCCATCCTGCCTGGGGCTGCTGAACTTTAAGGCTGTGGGCAGGACAGGGGAGATTGCCCTTGACAGACCTTAGAAGGTTCGGTTTCCTGCTGGAAACTGGAATTCCTGGAATTATCTAAACTGGTTCGGACAGCGGTTTCTTTGGAAAGTCCCTGAAAGGAAACAGAGATCTGAAGGGTTTTCTTAAGAAGTGAAGCCTAATGGTAACCCAGTGAGGTAGAGTGGGTGGTGGGAAGTTGGGCACCAGCAGGATCTGTGCACACAGAAGCAGAAAGAAAACTGCTGAAATAATAATGCATTTAACAACGACTCTCAATTCTCATGCACTGAGATGGTGGCTCTGCTTAGCATCACGGCCCGATCCCATATCCCAGGGGCCACTCTCCTCTCCACCAAGCCCATGTGCAGTGCTGGCTGCTCCCTGCCTCCTCACACCCTGCTCTCCTGAGGCAGCCCTAAGTGTTTTGCAATGAAGAGGAGGCAGAAAGGCAAAGCTTATCTAATACTTCTCCCCCATATACTTTTCCAGCCTCCAACTAGTTTCTGCTTGGGGGATTTCCTGACCCTGGTGTGTTTAACTCTTCAGCAGCTATTGTATCTTCTCCCTCGGCTTGTGCAGGCTCTCCCTGGCAGCAAGGATACATGGCTGCTGGGTGCAGAGCCACCTCCTGCATGCTGTGAGCCTTCCTTCAGCACCCCTTGTCCCATTCAGGATCAGTCCTTGACCAGTCAGCCCCTCCCCATCCTCTCCAGACCTCTCTGGATTTTATAGATCTTCATCATAACCCCCCAGGGACTGGTTTTCCCCACACGCATCAGCTTCATTTTAACTTCACCAACCTCCCCTGCTTCCCATCATTTATCCATGTGTTTTTCTATGCCAGAATCTTCTTTTCCTATGGGTGCTCTGCTCCCCACGGAGGCCTTTGCTGAGATACTTGGTCAAAAGCAGACCCTGCAGTAACATGGAAAGCTATGAAGCCTGCCGGTCAATCAAAAGCGAGATATTCTTAAGAAAGCAGCAATGATTGGGCAAACCACAAACCAATGGTGTTGCCAAAAGCAACAGCTGGGAACTTCTCTTGGAGAGACATGTAACGAGAAAATAACCTGAGTGTAGACCAAGAAGTATTTGCAATCAGGTACTTGCACTGACAAGCCATTTGCCAGTTAATTACTGGCAGTTACCAGTAGGCTTTGTTGACTTCTCTATAAAAATGACACAGCTTGATAATAGCTGATCTGCTGCCCAAAGTAATGGAAACTGTGCTCCCATAAACCCAGAGTTCCCAGTTGCCAGGTAGCTGCTGACCCAGATCCATCTCTGACTGTTCTGCTGGGCCTGATGGGCAGAAGCCTGTTTGCTCACCAGCAGGGACTCACCAGGATCCATCTAGCATCATCTTCTCCATAGGTATATTGGCCTCTCATAGACATTTGTGTCTCTAAACTTTACATCCAGGTAAGCACAGTCATAGGCTGAGGGAGGACAGGAGCAAAATAAAGCTAATGCTGATTCCAGTCAACAACTTGTTTTGCAAAAAAATACCTGATTTGACCTACAGCCATGCTGGTCTTGAGTATAAAATTCAGACAAAATAGACAACAGAGTGCCAATCTTGATGATTCCCTGTGCACATCTGGATTTTCTGCCTTTGACCAAACACATCTGGGCCACTACACCCCTTTTACACCAGCAAGTGCCTTCCAGATGTTTTTAATTTCTTCATCCCATGGCCCTGGGCTGGTCTCCTTTGCGGGCAGCAGGGAGGGGCTTGCTCCCTTGGATGGAGGGAGATCTTTTAATGAGAAGGGGTTACTGTGGGGCTGCATTCAAGTCTGCTTCTGCTCACTTATTCAAGGCCTTGTTTGTCCACACCTGACCACATCTCAAGCTGCTTGCTTCAGTCAAATTCAGTGTAATGTTCCTACAAGTGATCATACAAGGCAATGTCTTGCATCAAGATCCATCTTCATGGGGAAGCCTTTACTGGGAGCTTCCCTCTTCTGCTACTGCATCATCTCATTTCTATCTGGTCCTGACCCTCTGCAGACAGTGGAAACAGCCTGCCAGGCCCATGGCAGCTCAGAAACAGCTTCCCCTCCTGTTCAGAAGAGATATCATGGCAGAAAGTTATAACTTCAGGCCATTGCAGTGAATTATGCCTGCTGTTATGGCTAGTCATGTGAAAGGCCCTTCTGCCTTCATCCAGTGTCATTCTATACTGCCTGGTTTTGCAGATGTGCTACAAAAACCTCACCTTACACTTAGGCTTAAATTTGAATCCTGGTAAGGGTTCTGGATGGAAACTGTGGTAGCTCTGCATTACCAGCATGAGGCCCAGCAGTGAGGACAGGAGGGTAGGGGAGGTTAAATGCTGTGCTTGCCTGAAGGGAGAAGGTCCCATAATTAGCACCAGGGTAGGGATTGGTGGTGTCCCCATCACCACAGTGTCTCAGTAGCTAAAGATGGCTTTCCCCACATTGTCTGGTTAAATTTTTCTTCTTTGGGGCTGAGGCCATTTCCAGCAGGAGCTGGAGTCCCTTATGGCTGCTTTTAGAGCTAGGGCAGAGACTAAAGTTGTTGACAGGACCACTTGAGAGGATGATGTCTTCCAAACCCTCTTCCCATCTGATGCCCTTTGATCTGCTGCAATAGTCCAACAAGACAAGAGGACCCTAAATCTTGGGAGAGCTGGTATTCAGAGGGAGTTATGCAAGGAGGCAAACATACATCATGTATATGAGAACAGCATGTGTCAGTGTCCACTGGTGCATTCTCCATAGAGAAGATATGATCTACTGCAGTGGTGAACAGTGGAGGCAGATTAACCTGAGCAGGAAACTCTCTGGCTTGTTTTACCATAACTCAGACTATGGCACTGTGGGCTCTGTGCCATTTTGGGTGGAAGCAGCAGACAGTTTGGAGATACTTTCCCAAGCCACCATTGTCTGGGTGACTTGGGACGACCCACTGTCATATGGTGGTACCCAAGAAGAGCCATGTCTGGGAGCTGTCCTGAGCCATGGGATGTCCCCACGAACCAGTCCCTACAAGAAGTGCCATGGCTGCCACAGATGGATGACTGCCTTTAATGACAGGTAGAAGCAGGAAAAAGTAAACTCCTGACTGTGACTCAGCGGTCATCTTTTCCCTACAGAAAACACCCACTTGGCAAGAGAAATTGAGCTAATTAAAGGATTTTTCCAAGAGTTAGGGACCTCACCAGGGAGAGCAAAAGAAGCTAAAGCCAATGCTGAGGTTCCCAGATGACCTGGAGCGTTTTGGGAACCTGTGCTTGCTCAGCCTCTGACTTACCCTTTCTCTCCACAGACTTTAAAGGGAGTAACCCATCCCAAACGATTTGCAAATAGCTTTGTTGAAGCCATCACAGGCACTGTTTAGAAACAGCAGAAACTTTCCCAGCCAGATTGGAATTACTGGTAACCAAGGCTTTGCTGGTGGCATTACCTTAATTAGGAACATTTCATGGCTTTCGCTCCTAATCCTACAAGGAACAGCATGTCCCAAGGGTGGCCATGCTGTAGAGAAGGAGGGGGCTATATTTACTTGCTTTTCCTTCTTGTAACCAGACAGAGTGGCAGTATCATAGGACAAATGAGCTGACATCAAGTGCCTATGCTAGAAATTGTTTATTTTGTTCCTAAAAATATGAAGAGGCCAAAATGTTCAAGCATGAGCAGCTCAAAGCAGGCATCTACTCAGGCTCTGTGGGTAAGGCTGGCATTTTCCAGAGACACTGAGTCCCACCCCCAGGGAGTATATTGGATGCTCAACTTGCTCCCGGTTAACATTCCCAAAATGTTAGGGCTGATAGCCTTATTTGCAGGGCTTTTGGACAGTGGGACTTGGAAATGTTGGGGAAAATAATGTAATTTTGCCACATGAGTAAGTATTCTTGGTACCTGATGTGTATCCCAAAGTAAATATACTCCAGTTTTATTTGTGGGTCCCCCCTTGTGACTGTGTGGGGCATGTGCAATGACTGCTGACAGTTACTTGTATCTGATTGTAAATTGATCACTTAGCAACATCTCAACTTCATGAAAGAAATATATTGGATGGTGAACCCGTACAATGGACACAGGCTCACATCTTGGTTGGCAAGGATCACATGAAACAACACAAGGAAAATCCTGCTGTTGATAACCAGCTTTACAGGGAGCTCAATGTCACTGTTGGTAGGGAAGACACTCGGACCACAGTTTAGGAGAAGGATTATGGCCCCAGCTTTGCTTCCACCCTCCCGTATAATGCTGAGATAAACAAAGTTTAGCTAGTTCTCTGTTCCCAATCTGTAAAATGGTAGGTTTTTTGGACTTGAGGATAGCGTGAAGATAAAAATCTATCAATAACCTGGTGTCATATGCTACTGAGGAGCTATATAATTCTCAAAGGGAAGTACTTCAGCTGCAGTGTTGAGGTTCCTCACACCACATGTATTCCCATAGCAGATGGGCTGCCCTGGACCTTCAGTGGGGTGAGTCTCTGCAAACTGAGACCTGCATAAAACCAAGAAAGCTGGTAGAAAGGACCAGCTCAAAAGTGCAAAAGACTGGTAGATAACATGGGGACATGCGATGCTTGCTGCTAACATGCAGGTAACACAGTGATTCTTTAGAGGTGAACGTATACCACCAGGGACTGTACACAGAGAACAAAACACAAATCTGCTGGCTGGGTTAAACAGCAACACTCTTCAAAATTAAAAAAAAAAAAAAAGAAAAGAAAAGAAAAGAAAATTTCAAAGGGAGAGTCATTGCCAAGCAAGGAAAATAAATTAAAAAAAAAAAAAAAAAAAGAGATCCTGACATGTTTAATAATAAAACCCATAATAAAACATATGAGAAAAAGATTTAGGGGAGCAGCCTAGAGACAGTATAAAGAATTATTAATAGAACTTTTCAAATTTATCTGAAGTAGGAACTCAGTGGGGATAAGGAGGTCAACAATTAGCTGATGTAAATATAAGGACAACCAAGGCAGGGCAGGGTTGAAAAGCTGAATGGATTATTTGTGCTGGCGTTCATTCTGGGTATGGTCAGGGAAGTCCTCAGGTGGCAGCCACTCTCTACAGTCTGAAGAACGTTATCAAACAAAAATGTCAACAGAGGAAGTTTTAGGAGAGAAAAAAAAAAAAAAAAAAAAAGCATAAATAATCTGTGGCAAGTGACCAGCCCAGATGGCATTCACACTGAATTACAGGGAAGTAAAGATGACATTTTTTTTTTAAACTTCTAAGAAGTATGTAAACTATTACCTAAAGCAGCCTCAACACCAAAAGACTGCATTATGGCAATTATATATATCTTAAGAGGGCTCCTTGCACTGAGGAAACACAGGTCACTTGGTTTGATTTCAGCATCAAGCAAGTCAGTAGAGACAAAGAACAAAATTTTCAGACATACAGATAAATACAAGAAAAGTGAATACAGCTTTTGTAGTGGGAATGCCTGACACCCATGATGGCATCAATGAGCACATAAACATGGTGAACTGATCTAGACCTTGTGCTGTGTTTGCAATGGGCTTTTGGTAAAACTATTCCACCAAGGCCCTTAAGAAACTCCATTCTGATGGAGCAAGAGAGAGGCTTATCCCACAGTCTGGAACAAAGAGGTGGAATAAGTTGATGGTGATTACAGCAGATTGAAGGTAGCAGCAGCTGTCAACAAAGATCAAAAGGGAAGAATAATGAAGTCATTAAGTTTGCTGATGGCACAAAATTATTAAGCATAATCAAAACTGAAGTTGACTGCGCAGAGCTGCAGAAGGAGCTCATGATACTGTCTGAGCAACAAAATGTTTTTTGAACTTAAGATTTGAAAAATACAATATAGTGTACATGAGCAAAACCATTTTGACCATAAATAGCCAGTGATGTTCTCTTTAGTTGATACATTTTAGGAAGGAGGCACTGGCATCCTTGCTGTCTTGAGTGAGTTCTTCACTTGTCTGATTCTTACTCTCTTCTCTAGTAGCAAATGCTAATGTCCAGTGCTGGAGACAGGATACTGGGTTTAACAGATATTTTATCTGACCCAACACAGTTCTCATGGTCCTGTTACATGTTTATGCAGATCTCAAATCATTACTTTAGAAATGAGTTTCTGCCAGCTAAGACAATGCAAAGAAGCGAGAATCCTAGATTCCAGGTCCTAGAAAAAAAAAAAAAAAACCACCAAACAAACATGTTAGGGGGACTGTATTCATCCCTTTCGATTTTCTAAAGCTTATGAGAGATTACATATGGGACATTTCTCCTGCCTCGAGAAACTGGCAGAAACTCAAGCCCAAGGTGCATTAAACATCTTTCCTCCATCCACCCTCAATAAGGTGTAAAGAGGACAGGACTCACAAGCTGTCCACAGATCCTCCAGGAATTTAATTTCCATTTAGGCATGTGGACTTGGCAGGAATTGCCTGGGTCCGTGGCTGTCACAGGTCCGCAAAACTCAATATCCCAGTGCAGACACATCCATCCTCACCTCAGAGCTGGCACAGGAGTCATACTATGGTTTCTGGCTGCCTCTCCCCATGCATTCAGGCTGAGCAGAAAGCCCTGAGCTGCTTCTGATTTAACAACTTCCAGGCACTATAAATCTAGCAGACCCCTAGAATTTCCTGAGAGAAAATATAAGAGCTTTTTTAAACTATTGTTCATACTCTTAGCATTGTATACTGGCTTCTGTTTACACCATCATTAGTTTTTTCAGGTACTGAGCCAAATAGTTGCTGACAGGGGAAGGTATTGTTCCTTGCTTAGGGAGGGGAAACTCTGCAGAAATAGTTGTTTAGATAAACATCAGTGTTCTTGTCTAACATATTTTTTCAGTCCCCTCTTATTCCTTATGCTTAATACTGTATGATGATGGGGCTTTTATAACTCTGGCTCCTGGGGAAAAGCAGAAAAAATAGTCACCACAAAATCCGGGAGTTACCACATATTAATTGTAATTAAAAGATTTCTCAGAACGTGCAGAAACTTCAAACTTTTATTTCTATCCCTCTGCCTTAGGCATAAAGTACACAGCAGAAGGTACACACGTGTCAGTGACAGATGGTTTAGCATTTAACATTTTGCTCAGGATGTTCACAGGCCACACCTGATGATTTTGTACTGAAAATGGGGGTATTTGTTGAGCTAACAGGATGATATTCATCCTAAGTTATCAGAGATGTTGGGACCCATTGTTATTAAAAGCAAGAAGCAATTACAGAAATTGCTTCACATTGTGTCGGCTGTTGGGCAGCTGTAACATCTTTCTCTTACAAAGGGATCCTTAAAAATGGTACCTTCATGCCTAGGGAGCACAGACCAAAGTCAGGTGTGCTAAATCCAAGTTTATTTCAATACTTACATGAGCTATGTCAGGTAAGTACTTCCAGACTTCTTATGGGGTATGGTTTTATCCCAGCATTGCTGTAATATCACCAGGAGATACTTAATGGAAACAGAATCACAAGGTGGCCTAATGGGCCCCAGATGAATAGCACCTGAGGAATTCAGGGGCTTCAATTGCATTTTTATAGGAAAGCTTTGATCCAGACAGGGGCAAAAAACCCCAAACCATCTAATGATTTTGGAGGGAGTTAAGGATGAGTACCTATTTAAAGCTAACAGTTGAAATATTGAATTAAATATATATAGGCAGATATTTCATAACAGTACACTTTTCAAGGACGGTGAGTTTTTCCCCATTAGCTACACAGGTTACTTATTTATGTTGTTATTTTTCTCTAGTATTGCTCCTGGCTATTTGCACATCCTGTATTTTAAATAAATGTCGTTCTCTGGAATTAGGAAACTGGGGGAACTGTTTATCTAGGCATGTCTTTCCAGGAAAGGACTGGTGGGTTATGTCTCCCCTTCCTCAGGACATTTACAATGTCTGATACTCAGAAGATGCATTTGCCTCACACATGCACATGCTCTGATTGTACTGCAGTAGCAGAGGGACAAGGCTTCCTCATAAGGAACACCCGGCTGGAAAAGTGCATTCGTGTCTCCCACCATGAGACCAACAGCATCGACCTGACTGACTGCAAGGTGCAGTCCCAGCAGCAGCAGTGGAGCTGGGACCCTGCCACCAGGACCATCGTCAGTCTTCAAACGAAGCAGTGCTTGTCAGCCCACAAGACACGGGAGTATGCCCTGGTCAAACTGGAGCCCTGCGGGGACTTGGAACGCCAAGCATGGTCCTGTAGCAAGAAGGGACACTTGACTCTGCAGAGCTTGGGCTTCCACCTCAGCAGCAAAGAAGGAGGCCACAAGCTCTTTGTCTCAAGGGAGAAGGACAAATTCAGCAGGTGGAAGACTTTAGCAGATGAAACCATTTGTGCTGCTGCCCAGACGGCAGCTCCAAGGCCCAGCAAACCAGCTCAACAAGCTGTAGAGACACTTGTGTGGATATATGAAAGTAAGATGAGGTAGATTTAGCATCAGATAACATCTAACCTTACAAGTCATCCAAGCCACTTAACACCAGGCTTGCATCCATCATTCTAACTCATGTTCAATATGGCCCCATCTGGAGAGATACCAAAAGGCTCCAAGTCAGCCCAACTACTGGGTACCACTGGTTTCCAGTAGTTGCTGTTGAGTGTTTTCTAGAAAGTACACAACACCTTACAGGATCAGGTCTCAACTCCAGCTGCATTTCTGATGACAGGCAGATGTCAATTATTTTGGAAAGTTCATCCGAACTGGTGCCCAGAGCTAAGAATCGTTGGAATTGCTTGAGCCTCCCAAGTCCAAAGCAGCCAAGGAAGTCCCATAAAGTCAGGTGCTTAAGACTTTGAAGGGGCTTTTGGTACTTTGGGATGTCATTTTTGGTAATTAGAAAACTGAAGGCAGCTGGAAACCTCTTTTAAACTTGTATGAATTATTGAGAAGCAGCTATCTTTGAAATGAGAAACTGTTGCTTCAGTCTCTAAGCAACTTGTTATAGTTATCTCCTGCCAGATCCCAATGGTGCACCTACCACTAATGAAACCACAGTTCTAACCTTCATCCCATGCTCTCATGATCCTCAAAAGTGAACCTCGCTCCTGATGCCTGATGTAACCATAAAGACTAGTGAGCGCAGCAAGTAGTGGGAGGTAGTTAAAGTGCTGCCCTCCCCTTGCACAAAAAAAAATAGAACATGACATCAAAAATTATAAAAAATCTACTTTCTGTTATCAGTTTCATGGCCTTGGCTTCTGCTAAAAAAGAATCTAATCTCTGCCTTTATGAGTGTTCACTATCCTCTGCCTAGACTGGACACAAAAAGGGGAGAAACCCTGGTCCTGTCAGTTTTAGGCGTTGGACATCAGGCTAACAAGCATCAGGCATGGTCATTGCACCAAGATGTGACTGTCATCATTTGTCAGATGGCCAGCGAAGTCCACTGATGACCACTGATAAATCATGGTCCAGTCTGCTTCCCTCTTTCATTTAGTCCCTTATGCAAAGGAAGGTGGTTTCAGCACTTTTCTTGTTAAGTTACATGCAGAACTGAGACCTGAAAATCACACTCAGTTCCTCCCCTCATCCTGTTCTTCCCTCCCTTCTTCCACTCCCAGAACCAGAGAAACGCTGGTGTTTCTAATGACTTCTCTATGTTTGTCCGCTCTGTAGGTGATGAGGTTCCCAACCTCCCTCAGGGGAAATTATTTCCATTACATGGGGCTATTCCTTACCTTAAGGCTTGATGGGCCCAAAAAGCTTTTCAGATTTGCAGAAAAGAGTATAGAGAAAATGTGATGAATCTGGCTGGCATAAGCAAATGGATTATAACGTTTTGACACAAAGAGGCTATATCTAACTTAAATTAAAAGAGATATATTAGCTATTTTGGCTGTAATGTGAAGATAATATGGACTTTTTACCAAGGTTTTTAGTTAGCCAACTAGAAGGTTAATTTGTAATTATCACAGTAGTCACAAGTGTTAGTGTTTGTCTAACATGAAGGTAAATACAGCCAATACAAATTAGATACCATAACAAGCTAGTTAAATATAGGCTAGGAAATTCGTGGAACATTTAAGATACGGGGAAAATGGCATGTGAAAAGGGCATTTGCATTCCCCAAGGCAATATTCCTGGCAGCCCAGGGCTGCCTGGGAGCCAGGCTCCCCAAATAAGGCTGCAAGGGTAAACACAGAGGAGGCTTTGAATGAGGCTGTGCCAGTTAGTGTGTCTTGTGCAAACTGATAATTTTCCCGTCAACCTCATGGTTCAGTCTACTGGAGGGAAACTCTAAGTACTCAGTAACAACATCAAAGTCCTATGTATTTGTTTAGGCCTTTATTATCCAAGTTTCTGTTGACCACCAACAGGCAACTTTCCCTTTGACGGGTTATTTGCTCAATAAATTACACCCGTGTACTTGTGGATGCTCATGCCACAGGAAGGTGTGGGATTGGGGTAAGCAGTGGGGAGACCTGCAGACATGGGTTTCTTGTTCTTGACACATGCATCAGTGCAGGAGAGGGGTGACTATTGCTGCCACAAGATTTCCCACAACCTCCCCTCTAGCAATAGTTGCTAACCCACGTACCCTACTTCTTCAGTAAGACTGGCAAGGCAAAGGATGCTGCTGAGTTTTGCAAAAGGTATGGAATATTTACCAGCCTTTTGATTCCATTTCTTCATCTGCTGTGTTGGTAATACCTGTGATGCTTCCACTTGCCTCTTCCTCACATCTCTTCCTTTAATAACTGGTGTTGCTTTCATACTTTTCAGACCAATTACCTTATTTACTACCAGAAAACAAGCTCTGCTTTGGCTGTGGATTCCATCTTGAGAGGTTAATTTAATTTAATTTTTTAAATCTGTGAGAACTGAAAGCCCCTGATGCACAGGAGGTGCATTGCTACTGCAGTGTGTCTTGTTCACCTTTCAGGGTAGAGAACTAACATGGCAGGGCTGGGTTCCCCTCCCTTGCTAGGCACTGAGTGTATCCAGGTTTCTGTACAAAAAGTAAATTAAGATCACACACATCTTTGCTTTATTTCCTTCCAAGCTAAAACCATTGATTCATCAAAGATAGATGCCATGAACAAAGAATCTTCTGTGAGCTTGACTGACCCACCTCTGGCTAACAAATTTAACAGCACAGTGTCTCCAGCGAAGACCAAACAGGCATACCTCCCAGGAAATGAGGGTGAGAACTTTTCTGAATTCATATGTGAAAACAGCATGAAGGAAAGTGTGGGTGGCATCTAGAAATTACTGAAGTATTTTCAGTGGTTGTAAGTATCTGAGTACTTCTGAAAAGAACTTCCATGTGTACCACTGAGTGGTTCAAGGTGTTGCTTTCATATAACATATTGACATGTTTGCCTTGGCAAGCAGTTCAGTGATATGGCCGTAGTTTTAACCTGGAGGCACAGACAACAGATGTTGTAAGAGCAAAAAAACATCGGTGTCTGGGGAATGCTGAGGAACAAGAAAGTTTCCTTTTCCCTTCAGGCTCCATACAAAGGGGATTTATGCTTACAGTGCAGCCCCAGGAGGGATTTGGAGCTTCCGCTTGTGCAACAGTGGAAGCTGCTAATCTGAGTCTCTCTGCTTCTTTCTCCAGATGTGTCCCACAATCACTCTAAAAAGCACCATGGAAATCGAGGGAAAAACACTGGGGCCAGGCTTGCAGGTAGGTTCAGGGATCAACCAGAAGAGGTAGAGAACAGGTGGATGAAGGTTCATCAGTGTCCCTGACCTTCCCATCAATGGAGTTACATTCCCCTTGGTCCCGCTGAGGATGCTCAGTAGGGAACGAGGACACCAAATTACTTGTCAGATAAACTCCCTTTAAAGATTAAACAAATGCCCCCAGGCCTGGAGTACAAAAGTGAGAGAAAACACAGAAATGCTTTGTCCCAGGTCACCAGGAGAAACAGATACCTACTAGCACTGGTGCCTTCCCCCAGCCCTTCCTATTTCGTATCAGAGTGCTGCAGAGCACAGAAGCATCAATAGTTATTGTCTTCCTAGCAAGAAAGAAAACTCTTTTGTGGCCATTTTCGATAGAGGGATGCTGTACAGTGTAAAGCAGTTGTAAAATGTTGATGTTATGGACAAAGCATTTTTCCTGATAACTGCTAGTCTTCAGGGATGATACAGGTGATTTTGTGTCAGTCGTGGCTATTGCATAAAAATGGGGATAGGTACAGCAAACACATGATTGTTTTCTATGATATCCTTCCAGGCACCAACTGGAAAACGGCCATGCTGGTCCTCAGCCCCTTGGCATTCATACTGGGATTAATAATACTCACACTCAATGTTCATTACAACAAGTAAGTAGGATTCAGGTTCATTTGGTTCGCTACTTCCCTGTCCAGCATTTCAAAACAAGTCTTGATCTTGGGCACCGTTCCACATCCCACACCTGAAGCGTCTGGCTCTGAGCAGATGGGTCTGCTCACCCATGATGTCACCCTTGATGATTTCTGCTCTCTACCACCCTGTTTCTCCCTCCCACTCAGTATCCCATCTAAATGCAGCTCCCAGTGTTGGCTCTTCCTCTCCCACACACCTCATGCCATCTCTGAATGTTTAGGGAATGCGGGCACTACAGTTGCTGAACCAACTGACGTGGAGAAGCAACCAAGTGACAGGCAGATGCAATTACGTACTCTCTCTCTTCTCCTAGGAAAAAGAAAATCCTTTCTGCTCTGAAGAGCTCCCCAGCCAACAGCAGCAGAGCTGATTTACGGGAGCCATCTCCCTTACGAAGAGGTCCCCAGCCATATGTTCCACCATCTCGCTCTCCTTCCTTGAGGCATGGAGAGATCCTCATTGAGTGGAAAGATGGGACTGTCACTCCTCTTTTTGATAATGCCAATTATCAAATGGACTAGCTCCAAGATAATAGAGCTGTTGTTCCATCCTGTGTCACTCTTCCCACCAGGAAGAGTGCCACCACAGCCAATCTCCTCCCTAGCCTTGCTGTTTTGACAGGGAGTTGTAAGCGCTGTTTGAGTTTGTTTTTTTTTTTTAACACTTGAGAACAATCTCCTTGCACAGCACGAGGTTGAAGCAAGCAGAGCAGATTGTTTAGGCACACGCTGCTTATCTCTTCCAGAGCTGATTTAATCCCTAACAAAATCCAATTTAGCTAAATGAAGCTGAGACTCTTGCCAGCTGCAACTGAAATTCTAGAAATTCATTGCCCTGAAATTATAGTGTTACTGAGCATATGAGAAAGCAAATCCTTGGAGACAAGGTGTAAGGTGAAAAACAGAAGTCCTAATGGTCCTTAAATAATTTTTAAGATAAAACCAGCCGCTGACAGACACAGAAGGCTGTCAGTTACTTTGCCAGTGTGAGAACATAACTAACAAACACTGCCTTCAGGACTCGAAAGATTAAAGTCTCCTCCAGATATCTGCCAAAATACTCCCCCTGCTAAGTTATCAACTAAGTAATAGCAAGTAATTTTTCTAACTTAAAAGGTAGCACTCCATAGTCCTCTCTGCACCACTGTAAGAGTCCTGCTAAGAGAACATGTACTTGTCAAAATATTTACATGTTTAGGATGTATTAGACCTTATTATAATACACATCCTCTTTCTTTATGTAGAATGAAGAGTAGTGTTGGTGGTGCTTGTCAGGGATATTACATTATCCAGCCATTTTATACCAGCTTCAGTCTCTGATTTCCTATAGTCACGTGGAATAGACAATGAACAGATATACTGCTTCCCATCTAGAGCCATAATAGAGGTTTTTTTTTTTTTTTTTCTAGAAAGGAGTAAGGCACTGTTTTCAGCCTTTATACTTCTTGTTTGCCTATAATTACCTGTGGCGGTCACACTCAGTCCTGATCTCTTCTCAGTGAAACTTGTGATGTCTTAGTACTTTCCTTATATTAATGAATTCATACTTTCCTTCTCTCTGATGTAAATCATAATCATGGCTAGAAATGAAGAATTAGTTGGAGAAAGAAATACTAACACCAAGAAATTATGAGTTGCATCAGTGTATTTGTTCAGTAGAGCAAGGGAAACCACATCTTAACCTGTCTCTTACTCAGACTTAAACAACATTTTTCACTTTACCTAAATTAAGAGCTCCGTCTTCCCTAGAGTTTGATTTTATTTAACCCAAGGCAGAAGTAAGATATCTAGAGAATTTAAAGTCTCTGATTTTATTTATTTATTTTTTAAACATTTTTCTTTTTAAACACAGATCTGGAGGCTGGTAAAAAGTTAGCTGCCATGAGACATTATTATGACCAAAACTTAGCTGGTCTCAAGAAAGAAAATATAAACCTTATTGGTTCAGGGCATAAAAATCATAGAGGTTGGAAATAAATATCTTCCCCAGACAGATTATTCCATAATCATTTACTGAAGGGTTTCCCACACACTCCTTGGGAAAATATTTTACTACTAGACATGGGCAGAAGAACTCCTTCTTCACCAGTGATCAGTGAACACAAACAAGAGTCAGAATTAAATTCTGACTTTCTAGTGTTTCCACTTTAAAACAAATCTAAAAACTTTTGGGTCAAGTTTCCAAATGCATAAGCATCATCTTACACACCAAATTTGTGAGAATACATTCTGTACATAAATTGCTCAAAATGTACACACAGTGCCTCACCAATTATCACACTTACATCCCTTGTACCTTCTTCTACCACAATTAAGATGCCCACCTTTGAAATTTTGTCCAAGGAGCACATCACCTTACAGTGTACAGCACTTGTTATGCTCCAAAGCCTTGACACGCTTTGGGAACACTGTGTATGCAGTGCCATTAAAACGGAAATACTTGGAGTTCAGCTAATGCTGTGCTTTCCAAAGCAAGAAGTGCTTATGTGCATTACTGCTGAATGGGCAGAACAGATGACTTGTTAATGACTCTCTATAATTCATACTTACTATGCTAATCTTGCTTATAAATATGAAGGCAGTACCACCACTGTTTACAAAGCATTGATTAAATGGTAGCTCAAACATTAATGAAAAAATGAGACTGTGAAGCAGCACAGGCTTTTAACTGTTTTCTCCCTCTCTCTTTTACTGGTTGTTATCTTTTAATTATTTTGTACTGGTTTACCTATATTAGATGCTGGATCAAATTTTCCAAGGTATGGATAGAGGAGCTGAAGTTACAAGTCTTTATCACAAGATGTCTTATAAAGCATGTTAGCCAAACATTCATCAGGAAAGACTCCAAAATAGCTGATTCTGCAGTGGGGCTAGACCTGGTGACAGTGGGAGACACTTCCCATCCTCTGCTTCTTAAGCTAGCTGAAAAATACTCAATCACACAACCTATGTGCTGTTCACTCTCTGTCGTCACCTGAATGCAATGCTTGTAAACAGTGTTCATAGCAAAATAAAACCTGACTATAAAATGGAGGAACACTGAAATTGTTCATGTGTGTATATATACATATTAAAAGCTCCCTTAAAATGTACCCTCTTTTCTGTGTCTCTGCATGTGTGTGTATACACATATATATACACATACACACACAAAAGGATGCACTGTAGGGGAGCTTTTAGAAATCACAGGAAGATAAACGGAGTCATGAGCAAGACACCACTGTCACTGTGGCACTAACATTTTCAATGTGTGTTGCACTGAAGGATGAGTGCTGCGTGACTGGAGAGCCACGTGATACTAAACTGGCACCTGTCTTTCTCAGCCCAGCTATGCTGCACCTCTGGTATCGCAGGACTTCTCCAGGGATGATGTGAAGCTAATGACCCTCACTTCACTCCTGCAGCAAGGAAGGAGAAGATGACAAAGTGGAAGTAGAACCCACTTTCTCATACACTTACTTGCTTTGTGATTTCCAAGTGCCTATGCAGCAAAGGCTAGAGGAGATGTAAAGAAGGGACAGTTTTTCTCCCACAAAGTTGCCTAGGATTCAGAAAACCTAAATTATCACCTAAAAATTTTAGTAATGCCATCATGCGTTTCTGGTATTTATGCACCAAAAGATCCAAAATATTATGGACATGCAAAATCATAGTGTTAACAACCTCAGTTCCCACCAATGTCAATAAGAGAGGTTCAGCGGAAAGCTGATGCAGCCAAGCTATTCTGTGCCACCACAGGCGTCTGCCATCATCCAGTATGAGTACCTCCAGCACAGCACTGGCAGCACACATGGCCCTGCTGCCCACACATGCGTGCAGGCTGCGGCCATGGAAACACAGATGCTATCAAACGGCCTCAGCTTGGATATTTTGTGTAGAAAATGCTGTATTAGGCAGATAGATTTCCCTTTCCCAACTCCCTGAATAATGTATGGCTAAGATGTCTGATAAATAGCAAAAAGGGAAAAGAAAGAGGCAAAAGAACTTCAGGTTTAACATTTAAACACTGTATGCCAACTGTTTACTAGGAGTTTTTGGATGGAAAATGTTTTCGTAACACTACATTAGTGATGTACATAAATTCATAATACAAACAAACAAAACCTGAAATGATTTGACAAGTTATCACAGCATATCAGTAGAGGACTTGGGAACAGAACTACTGCTTCCCCATTTGAAATGCAAGGTGCAACTTCTGCAGTAAACATTTTGTTATTAAAAATCTCTGTATGCTCATTTTCTCAACTCTGTAGTTCTACATCAGCAAGTCAAGAAATAAAGTGTTTTATTTTTTCAGAAGAACTTGTGGTTGTTCAGCACTTCAAGGGAAAAAAAGAAAAAAGGAAAAAGAAAAGGAGACAGGGACAGAGGAAGCCTTTGTTAGCTCTGGATTTCAGTTCAGACATCTCTGGCTCATGCTTCAATGAGACCACACTTTTTTGTGTTAGCTAGGGGAGACAAAGCACAAGCTCCTTAAAAGCTCTTCACTGAATTTGTATAGATTTGAAAAAGAAATACACATTTCTGCAGACATGTAGTAGTTCTGGTTAAAAATACCCCAGGACATGCTTTTTCAAAAAGTCCCCCTGTCCTTCACAAACTCATTTATATTTTGGAGCAGAGAAACTGATGCACTTCTTTCAGTGTAGCTTGCATGTCTTCATATTCTGCAAATTTGCAAGCATCCTCCAGCTTCAGCCATTGGAAAGCTTGGTGCTCCTCCGAAAGCTTGATTTCTGTGTTACAGTCCTTCATTTCTGCCAGCCAGTAAATGACGGTCTTAGGTTTGCCACGGACAGGATAGTGGAGCTCTTTCTTGTACCCCTCTATGAGGGTGAGCTGACTGGCCTGAAGACCAGCCTCTTCCTGTGTTTCTCGGAGGGCTGTCTGCAGGTCATCCTCTCCTGGGTCCACGTGGCCTGTCACAGTGAAAAAGTAAGTCTCTGAGAAGGAAACTCAGATTTTGTTTAAGTTGACAACTAGGAAACACTGGGAGACAGATGAGAGTACTCTGTAGCCGATACAGAATCAAATGGAAACTGGAGAAGAGAGATTGGTTTTCCAACTCTTATGTCTTGATTTGTCTTTGTCTTGTGCATTTTAGGATCATTTTTTATACCACACCTTCTGAAATTCCCAGTGGCCTATCAACACTAGACATCTTTTCTTTCCACTGTTCCTCTCCTCTTCTGCAGCACTGTGTACCCACAATCACAGAATAGTTTGGGTTGGAAGGGACCTCCAAAGACCATCAGGTCCAAGCCCCCTGCAACAAGGAGGGACATCTTCAACTAGATCAGGTTGCTCAGAGCCTGAGCAACCTGATCTTGAGTGTTTCCAGGGATGTTCTACCTTGGATCGTATTGAGGACTGAGTGCCTCATGAACACTTTTCCTTTATCCAGTTAGAGGGGAGACTGCTCATCTGCAAGAGTCTTAGTCCTCTCTCATCCCTTCTCTCCCACATAAGCTTAAGGCTCAATTCTGTAAAACTTTTACTCATGTCAACAGCCCAGAAACAACAGGACCAAGAACCAACAAATGCAATTTAAAATGTGGCTTTCAGTTAGGCAGTTAAGGGTATTTTTATTTCTGTCCCATATTCCCCTCTGAAATGTAGCAAGTCTAAAAGCCAATCCTTTCACCAGCTGCTTAGTTCTTCTAGGACACGTCATTTATTTTATGTTGCTCAGAACGAGAGGTGCCATTACAAACAATGGTTAAATATAACACATACCCAGCTGTTTGTACTTTTGTTGAGAAATGTCAAATTTGGTTTTCTCATGAAAGCTCCAGACCAGAACATAAATAGAATAAGCCAAGCAAGATCTCAAAAAAGCAACATAGCAGGAGTTGGGAGGTTTCAAGAGGAGGGAAAAAGTTACTTTTTATTTTGCCCCTGGTGTCATTCTATTTTCTATGCAGCTGGCTGCAAAGAGTCATAATTTCACCACAGAGATGAATCTTTCCTCAGGGCCCAGGTACCCAAAGCCACCCTCTAGTGCTAGAACTGGGGCTTGTGGGAAGCTTGTTTTACTTTCCCAACAGGTCTCACTCACTTCTTTGTCTGCATATCAGAAGCTTAAACACCTCTTACAATGTGACATCATCTCAAATGTGAAATACACTTCTATTTCGAGCAGCAACTGTGCAGAAAACAGCATCTGATGTTGAATCTGACATCTCAGATATCTGAGATCAAATACATTGAGGCTTTAAGTAAAAATATTTCCCCCCTGAATCTCAGCACTGCAAGTCAAGCTGCCTCCTTTCTCACAAATTATGTATTTTGATAGCTGAGACTTACTACTAACAGTTGAGAAACGGAGTTCACTTGGCCTTGCACAACTGGCTTACTTTTACAGTACCCACAGCAAATGCCCACAGAACATCCACGAACAGTAACCACTACTTTTTATGATGGTCATGATCCATAGTCACCAAATGTGCAATGAGTTGAGGTAGCAATAAAGCTGGAGGGCTGAGAAATTGTTTCAACTCAAAGGACACCAGTGCAACCTCCTGCTCTCCAGCACAGCAAAAGGCAATCACCTCACCTTGCTGTTGATAACCTCAAGTCTAAGCTCAGTTAAGATTCCAACTTTGTCCAGTACAGTCTACCTACTGGGCAGAAAAAGGACTGCTGGCAGCACCTCACACCACAGCTTCCAGATCCTCCCAACCATTTGTACTAAGGCAGTTCCAATATGCTGAGGAGGAAAATGAACACTGCATTGCTTCCCTATTAGCCTCAGTTAGTGCAAAGTCACAGTTCTAGGAACAGAGATGAGGCTAATGAAGCTCACATGAGGGGATCCAAGCAAGTCCAGTTTAATCCCGTAAGGGCTGCAGCTGCATAGTGAACTTTTAAAATACCAATGTACAGCTGCAGCTGCCAATTGTCTTTTGCATGCTCTTGGAGAGATGATTACAGCTTTTCATTCTCGCTCCTGCCACATTAAATCTATGTCTTCATCACATACAAGTTATGTTAGTCCATCACACAATCTGAGGCTGCCTTTGAAGACCACTCGTATCACAGCAAATATATAATGCAATAGCTCTCCTTCGTTTATTGTGCCCAAATCTTTACCAATCCACTATTAAAGTCTGACATCAGACCATGGCTTTTGATCTATAAAACCTTAAACAATATGTTGAGGGAGGTGATTCTGCCCCTCTACTCTGCTCTCATGAGACCCTCCCTGGAGTGCTGTGTCCAGCTCTGGTGTCCTCATCACAGGAAAGACAGGGACCTGTTGGAGCAGGTCCCTTATGAGGACAGGCTGAGAGAGTTGGGGTTGCTCAGCCCGGAGAAGAGAAGGCTCCGCAGAGACCTTCCTGCCGCCTGCCCAGGCTCCAAGGGGGCTTGCAAGGAAGGCGGGCGCACGCTTTGCCGCAGGGCCTGTCCCCACCGCACAAGGCCTGATGGCTTCCCACCAACAGAGGCCAGGCTCACGCCGGGCACCGGGAAGACATCGCTTCCCACCAGCGTGCTCCAACGCTGCCGCACCTTGCCCAGAGAGCTGGCACACGCCCCAGCCCCGCAGACACGTCCAGCCTCAGCTGGGACGGGGCCCTCAGAGACCCCAGCTGCTCCACGAGGGGGCCCTGCTCCTGCCGGGGGGGGCTGCACCACCACAGCACCTTCCAAGCTCCCTCCCAGCCCAAACTATCCAATGATTCTATGACTTTGAGTGCATGAAGGTATATGCCTACAAGTCATTTCACTCCATGCTGAAATGCCTACAAGTCATTTCCATCACTTGTCTGGAATTACTGTGCTCCTAGTGAACCTTTCCACATGGGTCTCTCCTCTCACAACAACCACTCGTGTCCCAGAACATGTTTTTTAGCTTTCCAGGCAGCTGCTAACTCTACTCCCTTAGGCTTTTGGTGAAGCGGACAAAAGGGGGAGGTTTGGAAAGTTTTGTTCTTTCCCTTAATAGCACAGAGTATTCAATACTGTTACAAGCTTTTTTTCCAATTTGCAATTTCCTGTTTACAAACTGCTCCTGCACTACGCTTTAGGAGCACTGCATTTTAGAAAACAAATAGTAAAACTAGCAAGAAGAAATCTAAGAGAGTAAAAAACAGCATATATTTACAAGGAAGTGAAGTATTTCTTCATGTTGCGCTTTACCTGGTACCAGGGCTGTGACTATGTACTACCAAACACTGGCTCTGCCATGTGTCTTTACAGAGTAGGTGTTGCTATATGGCTTGGGGCACCCGGCCTGTCTTCTCCTTTGGGGCCTTCACTGATGAATAAGGATGGCTTAGGTGAAGATGGCTGATAAGATTACTGCTCCTAGCAGTCCCTCTCCTTTCTGCTGCATTAGGTATGTGCTCTTCATCAGTGATCTCCTGAACTTAAAGGAACTCCTGCATCTTCTAAGAAAGGTGTTTTAAAGTAGTCATCACCAATTTCAGATTGCTTTCTAATGTTGCACTGAAAACTGTGACCCTTTTGATTATGTGAGTCAAACAACTGTGTACTGGCAACAGCAGTATCTGGCAGAGGGTTGGACCTCAGGGAGAAGGTAAAAATTTCTCTAGCTACCTAACTTCAGCTGTCTGCTCAATGTCTGACAGAAACATCAGGCATCTGAGCAGCATGACTGGGTGACAACCCCCGCAACCCCAAACAGTCAGGCCCAATAGTTTATACAGTCACAACTTGCAAAGAATTTCAGTCACAAAACTCCCCACTCTGCTGCACAAACAGCATAATCAGTGGCTACTATCAACTGATTAACTGCCCCTCAAAGCTGATCTTTGCAGAATTCAGCCAAAGTTCAGACTGCAATCTCACTCACTCCTGACACAAATGACCTTAAAGTGTGTTATCAGAACATCACCTTTTGGTGGGGTCCAGTGATGGCTCCCATAGGATGTCTGAAGGAGGAGGTATTCGATACCATCAGTGACGTTAGAATATGGTGCTGACTGCAGCCTCCTGTAGATGATCAAGCCACAAGCTCTCACAGCCATGCCCCTCTGTTAGCTGCACGGAGAGCTGTGGAAGAACACACAGGGTCAAGCAGGAACAACATACAACATGGAGCTCAAACAGACTAGTTGTATTTAGCCAGCAAACATATCTCAGCACGTGCTAAAAGCTGATCATCCCTTTGTAGGTACTATACAATTAAACTGCATCTTATTAACTATTTTTGAATGGTAAAAAACTGAGTCCTTTCCTTTTAAAACAAGGTAACAGGAACATATACAAAAGCTTTTTTTTTAAAAAAAAAAAAAAAAAAGTTATCAAGAAGCATTAAATATGACCTGTACGACATTTCTTTGCTGCTATTACAAACCACATTGTAGGGAGAAAAAAAACCAAACTAACAACAAACATAAAGCAAAAGGAAAGCCATCAATTAACACTCTGAAGCTTTACCACTATGAAAATCCAAAGGTGCAAAGATAATATCTTAACATTGCTGGAAGTGGCATACAGAAGTAATTGCCCAAAACAGACCCCCTGCAGCAGAGAACTCAAGATGCCAGTGGCAGAGCCAGGAAAATTAATGACAAAGGACGGGCTTTCTGCTTGCTAAGCTAGACATGAAGCTGTTACAAAAAACTAAAGACTCCTTGGCATACGTGTTAAGCACTAGTTTCATGTAAATAGGAAGGAACACACCTCTTAGGTAACAAATACCGTAATCAATAAGCTATATAGCCAGGATAACTGGTCCTATACAGAAGAATGAAGAAAGCAATGGAGATGAGAAATCCATGTCAAAGAATAGAGCAGTTCCCAGTTTCAGGCAAAGCTTTGCATGATGACAGATCTGCACATTTCAATAAGTAATAAATTTACACAACGCTGTTTTTCCCCTGGGATGCTCAGTGAGGCATTGCGACACCTCCAGTTCCCAAACTGGGAAACCAGAGCACAGAGTCCTTCACCACCGACCACGCTCCGGGAGGGCGTTCAGCAATCCTGGTTAAACCCGTCTTTAACCGTCTCAATTAGCTTCTGGCCAGCCGTGGCTCAAAGACAAGCCCTCCTGCCAGCCCCCGAGCCCCCCGGGGGCAGCGCAGCGGCCGACCCCGCCAGATCCGGAGCCGGTCCCCGCCGGCGGGCCAGCACCCCCTCCCGTCCGCGCCTGGAAACGCCGCGCCCCGACGCCCGGAGCCTGAAAAAGGACAAACCCCGCCGAGGGTACCCGGGCCAGCGGCCCCCGGGCCCACTCACCCATGCGAGGCACCGCGGGGCACCGCTCCCCTTCCGCCCCCCAAGCCCCCCCCCCCCCCCAGCACCGGGATGAGGCAGGGGGATCCAGCAAGGCGACCCGGCTTAAAAACAGAGCCCCTGCCGCCGTTGCAATGGCAGCAGAACAGTGAGGGGAACCCCACAGGTAAACTCCAACCTCCCCTCCACCACTGCCGCCCACCACCCCTACCTTCACTTCCGGGCCGGAGAGCGAGGCGGGGGCGCAGCGCACGACTGAAGGCAGCCCCAACCAATCACAGCGGCATAAACTCGAGCGGTAGCTCCTCCCCATTCATTCCGTCCTCCCTCCCCCGCCCTGCCCGCCCACAGACTCCGCCCCCTCCGGCCGCGAAGGCGCTCGGATTGGTGTCTCTCCGCCGAGAAACGCCCCTCGCGCCCCTCTCCCTCGTCCTATTCGCTGGCTGAGGGGGCGAGGGTGCGCGCGAGCTTTTGAAGCGGGGAAAAAGCGTTGTTGCTATAGTGACATGGCCTAGTCGCCACGGCGGAACGGCGCCGCTGCCGGTGAGTGGGGTGCGGAGGGGCCTGCGGGGCTGGGGGGGGCGCTACCTGCCATGTGGTGAGGGGGACGGCCGCTCCGGGGGAGTGGGGGGCTTGTCCCGGGGGGCCGTCAGCCTCCCCGGGCGGCGGGGCAGTGCCGGGGGTTTCCCTCGGCCCCAGCTGCCTGCGGTGCGGTCTGCTGCGCCACCCCTTCCTTCGATCCCCGGGTGTGTGCGGGGAAGAGAGGGGGGAAAAAACCGGGGTGGGTCCGCGTAGAGAGGAACGAGAGGAGAGCTCTTCACACCGGGGGTGAAGCTGTGCAGTCCCTCAGCCTGGGACTAAATACACTGAGGGAAGCAGTAAATCCCTTTGGGGCTAAATTCAGTGACCGTGTCCCCCTCAGTCACGCAGTGTGACTCCAGATGCGTGGTGGGTTTGTTTTGATACCATTATCAAGTTAATTTTGAAAGCCATTTGGTAAATCTTGCTGGCAGGAGAAGCTGGGGCACAATTTTCAAATAATCAGCATCCCAATATAACTTGTAGATTATTTTCTTAGCGTGTGGTTGAATATTAGACACTTCCCGTTTCCATGCAGCTGTTGTTTTAAGCAGTTGTTGGGGATCAGCTGTAGGATGGAGTCTCTTCTGCTGAGGTCACCAGACTATACTTAGTATGAAGGGATGATTATAAAAAATAGTAGTCTCTTGCCAAATGAAATTACTCTGTTGAAAAACAACAACAACAACAAAAAAAAACACATTTAGTTGTTTTTAAGTTTATTTCAAAGAGCAATTAAATGAATTGAAGTTTTAGTAACCAGCTCTGTGTGTCTGTAGGAAAGGAAGCAGGAGTGTTGCTGCAGGGAGGCCTGCATCATAGTCCAAGTGCGAAATAGTTGTCATTTAACATGAAAAGTATTCCCTCCTCTCCAATTACTTTTACTATCCTGAAACTGCAAGCGGTTATCTATTGCTAGTAGTCAGCTTTGTTCCCTCAAAACAAGTGGCTACAACACTAGTTCCAACAAACAACAGAATGTTTAATACCATGTTGTGTACGTGCACAAGAGCGTAGCATAGTATAATCCTGTGATTTTACAAAGGGATCTGCTGCAACGTCAAATACTGTTTCATAGATCCCTACCTACTGCATTAAACTAAAATGATGAACCCATGTTGCAGTACAGATTATCTGTTATGGAGCTTGTGTTCATGTAAGTGCAAATGCACCCTGACCCTGTTCTTCACAGGAATATCCTAGTTTCCAAGGAATGGGGTCACAATGATTAAAGGTAAAGCATTTTGTGTGGTGCTCTGGAAAAGCAAATTAGACATTCACATCTGGAGGGCTCAGTCAGAGTTGGCTTTGGATCAGTTAAGAAAGAGCTTAATGTTCAGATGAATAAGAAATAAAGATGGATAACTGGTGATGTGGGTTAATAAGTCTCCCTTTTCTCCAGATCAGTTTTGTTCTGGTCTTCTGCTTCAATACTTTAAAAATCAGCAAATGCTTTGGCACTGACAGAGACTGTACTGTTTGGGGTAATGCGGTCACAAATAATGCACACAATACACTGCTATGGTTGTGGTCAAGAGCAGAAACATACCTACCTGCTACATGCATTTACAGATTTTATAAGTTCTTAACTTTTGTTTTTATAAGCAACTTGTAAAGAAAAATTATTTACATAATACAAAGTGATAGGCCGGAAAACAAGGTGCTGTTTAGGTTTTGTACACTGATTAGCAATTACTATGTTTATCATATGCCCCTGAAAATTGTGTTTAATAAAATTATTTAATGATCAGACCAGAGTTTATGATTTAGAATTAGTATCTTGGATTATTTGCAGGATTAAATGTATAGTTGCATTAATTTGCATTTGTAGGAGTGCCATGTAAGATTTCTTCACTTTGCCACAACTTAATCTCCCTAGTTTAAATTATGGATGTAGCGATACTTGTGTCATGTATCAGTGATCACACTCAGGAGTATCAGTGGAAGTCAGCTAAAATTGTCAGGTAAATATGAGTAAGCTACAGTGGGATAACAGGGCACATGAGTGTTATTCAAGCGAACGGTGCACTGAGATTTTTACTACATCACAGGGCAATAAGGATCAAGATATAGTGGTTGAAGGCTGCTTTATTCTTAAAATAGTCTATGTAGGGGTTTTATGTGATTTATTTTATGCATAGTGACTGACACTGAGTGAGTATCTTTGAAGGCCAACCTTTCTTCTACTTTGAAAAGTACACTGAGAATGAAAAGATCAGTGTAAGATTTAATTAATAATTAAAAACATTTTAAAATGGAGGATCAGTTCCTAAATCATAATTTTGTGGTAAGTTATTTTCCTCCAAAATATGTAAAATGTAACCAATCGTTTCTACTACTTTTGCCTGACTTTTATTTTTTTCCCAGCTTTACGACCAGTAGAAACCCTTTATTACTGAAACAGGAGTTCTCAGATGAGAAGCTGTGATCTTATTCTGTGCTTTATGTTGGTCCCTTTATATAAAATCTAATGTGTTTTTACAAAAAGTCCTTAACCATTAACCAGCATCTGGCAGCCTTCTAAGATCTTTGTAAAACTTCTTTGCATAAGAAATAAGTTGTACTGAACTCAGGTTTACCACATAAAGATGATAGGCCGACTGGCACCCTTGTTCAGACATCTCATATGTTCCAGCAGTAAGCTATATCACCATTAACTATTTCTCCCTTGCAGCAGGAATGTGTATTAGTATGTAAAGGTGCTCTGGACTTCACTGTTTCACTGACCAGCTTCATCATCTTCTTGTCAGTGGCAAAGCAGGTCCCTTGTGTGAGAAGAAGGTGAAAATTTCAAAGTGAAGCTGAGTCTTTCTGCCAGCTAAAATGAGAAGAGCAAGCACTGAACAATGAAGAATTCCAGGTGACGTCGTAATACAGATTGACTGAAAAATTTTTCTTAGGCCTGAGACTATCTGACCGTGTAACTGGGTGCTCATGGAGAATTATACCTCCATACTAACTTACTTCTTTCTCAAAATATGTTACATTCAACTATTTTAAGAAGACTTAGGCTTTTGTCTCAGTACTGTTTTCAGTGAAGACACCCATAGCTTTGTGGGGAGCAGGACCTGGGCTTTGATATAAAACTACCACACTGAAGAATGTTATATTGTTCTGCCCCAGGGCACAATGTTCTCTCAGGTGAACAAACGAAATTAGATCCTGACAATAATTGAGGGAATGCTGGCTGTTATTTATTGTAAAAAAGTGTCTTTTTTTTTTGCCAGAAGATGGCATTAGCAATTTAGGATTCTTGAAAACCTACCAATACTTCTCTTAGTTCTTTACAAATCCAGTGTATTTTGAAGAATTTATATCTGTTTTAGAAATAGTGTCTTCAGACACAAAGAATTTTACATTGTTGGACGAATTAAAGTATTCTTTTAACGAGAAGAAAGGCGCTCCTTTATTTTAGAGCATCGCCAATCAAAGGGCCGGCCATAAGGGTTTCACTGACAACTGCTATCTCCCCTGAGTTCTCATGTATGAACCAGACCAAATCTTTTAGAAACTTGTCTACTCTTGAGTTTTAAAGTAATCAGGTGTGCTGCAACCCATTGCCATGATGATGGCTTAATTTTTTTCCATGGTTAATTAATTTGTTACTCCTATATTTGTCAATGCTCTGTTTTCCGAGGTTGTGAAATTGCTGCTCCATGGATGGAGAGACACTGGAGTTATCTCCTGAAACCACTTAGATCCAGTAAGATTTATTGTCTCTGGAGAAGCAGAAGCAGTTATATCACTTCCTAGGCCAGCTTTCATTAAGAAGCCATTTAGTTGCTTTCCCATGTCACAGAACCTTAGCCTGTAAGCCATGCAGAGCTGCTTACATATCTCACTACTAACCTTCTCGTATG